CAAGACTCTCCCGGTGTGAAAAGGACCGCTTTGAAGTTCGCGAGTGAGCCGCTCCGCTGCTGTTCCGTTCCGCTGATGCTTGCAGTGTGAAACCGGCTTTAGATTTTAAAATAAAAAAGGGGAAACAATTGCACTTAAATGACCCCAAACCCCACACATTTATGATTTTACTCTGAATGTTTATTCAGTTTACTTTATGATAATACAAGATAATTTTTCTATGTGCAATTTTTGACTTTGGCATTTAAAAAAACTTTTTCCCACCTTAAATGGCCCATTTTTATCTTCTTTTTCTTTAATGTCTTTTTTTTGTGTCAGTCGTCTTCTTCAAACTTAATTGTTTAACCGCAAGAAGATTTTGAGGCTGGCTCCTATTTTCATTAGGTGTGGAAACTCCACAAGCATAATTCAAACATTTTATATGACAAGCCATCATTAAGTCATTAATTAAACAGTTATTACCACTAACAAGGTTAGACAGTTCAAAAGTACTAACTTCCATGAGAGGATTTAATTTTGTGTGAATTTGAAACACAATAAAATTAAATAGTATTGGCCTATTAATTATAACTGATGCCAATTTGTGAGCATTTAAACTGCTGCAATTTTATTTAAAAGAAAAAAAGATAATATGTTCAAACAAGACAGATAATCTTTTCTTGAATTTAAGGTAATAAAAACCATGTTTTTAACAGGAAATAAACCTCAGTGATCTCCTGTTTGAGTGAAAAACAGTGAGTCGTAAAAGGGTTTGATCTTGTTATTACAAAGAGAAGATTCTTCGTTATGCTGCTATTGTTTGTCCTCACACCAACCAAACCAGTTTGAGTGAGGTTGTTGAATTAGTGGGAAGCACATTATCAGTTCAGCTATCAGGATTCACCTTCCACCGAACAAACACACCAGGGATGTGTCCAGAAAAACATGAGTCATTGCTATATTTAAAAACAGATTTTGTTTACATTTGCTTACTTTATATGGAAACAGAAGTTATTTTAGAACTCACAGTTTTGAGTCCTTTGCATGTTCGCCCAGTAGTTATTGAGTTATTCTGGAGAAGTCTTCCCTTTATATCCTATTAAAGAGGTCATTGAGCTAATTTCAGAGTCAGAGGATCTTCTCTCTAATCAACTCTGAATTAGATGAAACTCTGACAACTACAGCTTTGTTCTTCAAACTTCAAACATCACTTATTGATGCTGAGATCGCAAAAACAAAGTTTTTATTTGTTGAATATGCAAAAAAGGTTATTTTTCACTGGCCTTAACTGTTTTGTGTAAAAAAAACCCAATTTAAAGACCAAGTTCACTCGTTTTCCATCACAAATGCAGTAGTTTCCAGTGTAAGTGAATGCCCTGTGAGTCGATCTCTGTGGGACAAAAGCTCTGGTCTCTTGTTTCAGGAACTAGAAGTTAGCTGGAGAGAGGAGCAGAAAACACCAGGGGTGTTTCTCAATGTCAAGGCGCCTGGCCTGGCGAGGCGATGTCTTGCGAGGCCAGGCACCTTGCTTAAGGGGACACTGTCCTTCCTTGGTCCAAGAAAACTGTCAAATGGAACAGACTTGCATCACATGACCGCGGCTTCCACGGCGGTCACATAATGTCATGTGACATGGGAGATAACGTTATATTTTATTTGTATGAGTTTCAATATAAATATATAACAAGCCTTTTACTTTTTAACATGTGTATATATTTATTAACTTAAATTTATAAGTGAGTTACTACCCGCTAGCCACCAAAGCTGCAACTAATAAGCAACTAACCAATCATAGCTAACTTCATTGGATCTAAAAAAACATTTAAAATTAGTTGACTTACTTTTAAACTTGAAATTTGTCCCCGAAGTAGCTGCCGGCTTCTGATCCGCCATTTTTTTGAAAATACTGCGGCGTAATCTGGGTAATTTTTGACCAAGCCTAGGCTACAAGACACCTCCCGTGTATCCTTGCTCAGCTAGCTAAACGGCTAACAAACAGAAAACACACACGCCTTGGTAGAACATGAACATTGGAACACGTCTTGGTGGCTCCTGATGACCATTAGGCAACCGGGGAGAGGCCAAGACATCAAGGCGAGGTTCCTTGGCATTGAGAAACACCCCAGGATTCTGAGTCTTACTTCCTGATTTTCTGACATCTTGCCTCTGATTGGCTAACAGTACTACAACTCCACCACTGACTAGGCCATTGGATTTTTGCAATGTTGATGTTTTATCTCCAAAAAATAACACAAACCTGGAGGAGTTCTGCCATGTTGTGGAGTTGCTAATGCTAACTGTTAGCTTCTACTAGCCGAGACGTTCTCTCCTGAACGCAGAACCAGCAACAGCCTTTCCCATTTCGAGTCAAGATGGGTGAGTCCGTAAATGCTAATTTTCAGTGTGACGTAGATCTGCCCGGCTTATAATCTGATCATTTGCGCATCTATTTTCATTGGAGGAAATGGGGGTAGAGGACTGCTTTCATGCTAAGCCTGATTTTGAAACTCAGAGTCAAAATGACAATCCTTCCCATCTTAGATTACGGTGACATCGTTTATACGACTGCTTCCAAAAAAAAACTTCTTCATGGACTCGATTGATAGTTCCTGATCAATGCGCCTGCTTCTGAGTACTTAAAGGTTGTTTTCAGTCTATTTTGATTGCTTGTACATATTGTAAATGAGAACAGTCCTTTGTCTTTATGTCTGTTTTTATTTTATCTGTTGTTCTTTGGTATAAAGCTAACTATGTGTCTGTTGCTGCTGCCTCTTGGCCAGATCGTCGTTGTAAATGAGAATGATTTCTCAATCTCATCAGGTTAAATAAAGGTTAATAAAATAAATAAGAGTGACCGATCATATTTAAAAAAATAACAAGTAAAAAAATGATTTCTCAGTGAACTTGCTCTCTAAAGAAAAGAACGTTACAGTGAAAATGGCTTTGCTGAAATGAAGTAAAGATGATCAAATTTTGACTAAAGCTGTATTTAGTTATGGAGATAAGCACATCTGCCCACTTCTAAAGTTACATCTGTTTAATTGCATGTCAACACAAATAGTTAATTTGCCAAACAGCAACTCTGTGTTTGTAGACCTCTAGATTCGGTGAAGATGACTTCTCGAAGTTCAAACTGAGCATCAGATCAGAGGAGAAAGGAGATTTAAATTTGGGATGGTGGTTGGTAGAGACTGGCTGGTCTGAGTGGATCACAAACTGCGGATCTGTTGAGATTTTCACCCACAGCCATCTCTAGGGTTTACAGAGAATCTTTAAAAACTGTTTCAGACAGCAGCAGCTCAACAAACATCAGCATATCATCGTTGACCAGGGGCGGCGTTAGGCCTGGCTACTTGGGCTGAAGCCCCGGATGTTTCATGAAAAGCCCCGGATCTAAATCGCGGAAGTAACATGCAGTACCAAAGTCCAACAGAGAGGGAGCAGCTGGCAGTGGTTTGTATACAGCCTGCCTGAGCCTCCACCACTGAAGAAGAAGCCCTTCAGCAGCCACTTCTTCTACAGTCTGCCTGAAACGCATGAGTGCGGATGGACTTAAGGACGTTTTTTAGACAAAAAGTACAGAACCCCAGCTTTGATGAGACTGGTGTTGACTCAAGTTTGTGAGTCTTATTTGAAAATATTTGTTGTGCTGCTGGTTTGCCTAAAGTTAGCTTACTATCAGGTAAAGTTGTTGGAGAAAGAACGGGAATATTTACTATCATCTCACACTAAACACTAACAGGAACAATACTCTGCCCTGAAAATGCTTAATATGTAGCTTCAGATTAAAAATTATGTGGTGCAAGACATATATGATGTTGACTAGTGCGTGTCACGTGTGTGCGCACACGTGTGTTAAGCCCCGGATCTTCTTCAGTCCTAAATCCGCCCCTGTCATTGACCCTGAAAGCAGATGGATCCCCGCAATGAAGACTACACCTTGTGTCTCTCCTGTAATTTAAGAACAGGAAACTAAGTAGAATTCACACAGGATCACCAGAGCTGGACAATATGAGATTAGAAACATGTTTCCTGGTCTGATGAGCCTGGATTTTTCCAGCTGCAGCTTACAGAGGGTTGGGTCAGAATTTGGTGTCCACAACATGAAAGCATGGATCCATCCTGTCTTGGATCAATGATTCAGGCTGTAGATGTAATAGTTTCTGGTTCCACGTTATGTCCGTAAGTACCATCTGAGCCTGGTTTAAACACTACAGCCTACCTGACTATCAATGCTGACCATGTTCACCCCTTAAGACCACAGGGCACCCATCTTCTGATGGCTACTTCCAGTAGGATGATGCACCAAGTCACAAATCTCAGATATTTTCTAACTTCTTTCTTAAACACGAGGATGAGTTCCAGGGACTCCAATGGTCTCCACAAACATCAGACCTAATATGGTTCCAGAACCTTTGGGATGTGGTTGAACAGGAGCTCCTGGATGGAGGTGATGTTGTCATGTCGGTTTGTACCAGAACCTCTGAGGTTGATTCCCGATGCTTTATTGTATATTTGTCAATAATAACTGGCAACTGTCTGATGACGGGGGGGGGGGGGGGGTTGGGGGGGGGGGGATTACTGGTAAGGTGTGCCTAATAAAGTGGCAATCAGTTGTTTATCAGTGTTTACATTTATTGATATTGTTGAGTTAAATTTTCGTCTATACTTAAGAACTATAATGTATTGCAGGGAACTTATATAAAAGTTTATAATTTTATCCTTATTTTGAAGATTTAAATGGAAAATTAAATGTTAAATAAAAAAATTTCAGGACTGTTCAAAAATGTGATTTCATAAATGAAAACTATGAAGCTTTCTTTCCTGCACGCCTAAATGACACCACCAGGATGGTTTACATCACAGCTAGCTGCAGCGTTTGTTTACTTTATGTACAAACACATAAAAAAAAACAAAGGAGCAAAAATAAGCGTGACATCATCCCAGCTCGTCTCCGATTGGAGGAAATTTAAACATCTATTTCTTAAACGAGTTATTCTGTATTTACACCACAGCGTGCTTATTACACAACAAAGGAGTGTAAACTCACACCCATTAGGCGTACATGAGTGTATAAAACAATGTTGAAGAGTGAGAGAGCTGAGGATGGATGATGAATGTCCTCATGTCATGTCTGGACCTGCGGTCCGGTGAGGGAGGGGGAGCTGGACCAGACCAGATCAGAACGGAGCAGAGCAGCCCGACGAGGAGAAGCGACACCTGCAAACAAAACCCCACAACACCGGAGCCTTCGCTCTTCATTTTTCCTCCTGGGGCGAAAAAACTTCGATGAAACAGACGCCGAAGAGGGACTTCAAAGGAGTTGAGCCGAGCGCCGAGGTGAGCGCGAGACAGGCGGAACATCAGAAAAGTCGCGCGACAGCTCGGACCGAGTGTTGGGGAAAAGAGAGAGAGGCGAGGGCAGGTAATAAATGATTCATCCTCATCTAGTGTAGATTAATAACTGCATTAAATGATGAAATAACACGGAAACATGCTCACAGAGAGACTTTAAAGGCAGCGCTCGTTCCGTTGGTTAATCTTTTGATGTGGTGGTGCGTTCACAGGTAAGAAAAGTAGCTCGAATTGCTCGCTTTCCCCCTCCACTCACAAGCTGCTCTTTGTTGTGAACTTAAAAACACTAATTTCTGCTCTCGTGCGTGTGGATTTTTGCATGCGTGGGTTTCACTTCTAAGTGAGAGGCGTCCATTATTGCGCGTCTAGTCAGATTTAGCATTATTGGAAACTTTTAAAAACACTTGGTAATTGTTATTACAATGACTCAGAAAGAAAACCTTTCATTTGCAACACACATTTAAACTCCTGAATGCAGCCGATGTGCTGCCTGTGATTTGTGCAACAGTTACAGTGGCTTTAGGCAACAAGTACAGCTCTTTATTTCTTCGAGTCTCTGATGGCACTTTGCCGCATGAGAGGATTAAGCCATGCATCACCTGAGAAAAATCCAAACAATTCAGGATGTACCTGCTTATGTCTGAGAATGTTAACACAGCTTTCATAGAAGTCGAAAACCTTTAACAAATGCTTTTCGACAGCGTGTGTTCTCCTGTGATGTGTGGTCTCCTTTCCCACGCTCTGTTCTGCAGCTCATGGCTTTAAGCCAGCACAGGTTTCTTCTTCAGTCTGAGCAGCAGTTACTGTAAACTCAGATACAGGACTAGGACACTAAGTCTCTACATCCTCAAAAAGCCTTACAAAAAGGCCCTCATCCTATCGCATCTGCGACCTTATTTTGGGTTCCCGATCACACTATCTGCCCCAGGTTCTTCTTGGTAGACCACATATTATTTGTTTACGAAGCTCTGACCCTGACAGGTGTTGAATGCATGCACACCTGGTCCTTTACATAAAGGGAAGGTAAACCGGCAGCAGCTGACTGAACAGGGTGGGACCTGACAGCGGGACAATGTTTATTCTACAGTATAGCTTGCCTTCTGTTCCTTTTTACAATAGCTGATATGTGTTAGACAAGAACCAAACGCCCATGTCTGTGGAGTTCTCTATTGATAATGCGGTGCAGCCTTTGAACCTGATAGGTGTATTACTGTAGGTCCAACCCCAAGGCAATGACAGGGTTGAATCTGTAGTGAAATATCTGAATGCCGCTGCTGTTTTCTGACCTTTTACTGGTTGTTATTTACAAAAAGGGAATTTTAGAACAGCATACTTCTATTAAATTAGATAAATTAAATTAATTAATCTGTCGTGAGAAGCAGACATTCTTATGGTTTAGTTGATTTGATCGAATCGTTGCTGCAATTTTATTTGAAAACATAATGTGAATTAAAGAAATAAATCATTTAGTAGAAAATCATCTTACGAATGAAAATAGCAGCGTATTTCCAAGCCTCTGGTTTCACCATTTTGATTACTTTTTCACGTTGTTCATCAAGTATGGCCCAGTTCAAATCAATCAATCAAATGGCAGGATTTGAAGATAGATTTTCAAAGATGAGAGACCTCATACATGGTGTTAAAAAAATCATGACTTGGCCACTTGGCAAATTCTACACACAATAATATTTCACTCACACTCTTTCGTTTAATCCCTTGTTTCAGACTGGTTTGCTAATGCCATCAAGCTATTGGATAAAATTTGCATTAAAGTGAGTTTTTTTTTATGTCAGATAGAAATTGTTCCTTTTGAATCATGAAAGTTTCTTAAATGGTAATGTGGGCCAGTTGTAAGTGGTGGGAAGCTGCTCCCCCTGAATCACTTCTATCCCTGTTAGCAGGTCAAACAATGTCCTGCATTTGGCCCTTCAGTTCCTCTAGAAACAGTCAGCTCACTGTTAACTGAGAAAATAAACATGCTTCATGAATGTGGTCCTTTTAGCATGTTTGCGCACAACACCAGTGGCTTATTCACAGATTTGATCTGAAGACAAAGTAGTTTTTCAAGGACATTAGCTATGCATGCTCCCACTGACACAAATAATTAGAACCAAAATTCATATTCCTGACCTCAGGTGTTTCATGCAACTGTGTGGTTATGGTTGCTTTTCATCATAAAAGAAAAATGAAACACAAGAAGCAAAACAATCTGCTGAGTTGGATCAGACTGTTCAGATGCAGATGAGTGTCTAGACCAGGGGTGCCCAATTCTGGTCCTCGAGGGCCGGTATCCTGCATGTTTTAGTTTTAATTCTGCTTCAACACACCTGATTTCAATCAGCATGTAATTAACAGGCTTCTGCAGAGCCTGATGAGATGCTGCAGATGATTCAACCAGTTAATCAAGTGTGTTGGAGCAGAAAAACCACAAAACCTGGTGGATACCGGCCCTCCAGGACCAGGATTGGGCACCCCTGGTCTAGACTCTGCATCCTGAACAGCTGATGCTGCTGTGCAGCTCTGAAGTCATGCACAATTCACAGTAGAGTGAAGTCACAGTGGATCAGATGTGAGCAGGAGATACAGTTACACTGGCGTCAAATTCGACTGCATGCCACCTCAGGGGGAGGAGGAAGAGAATGTGGCTCCTTAGCTTAGTGGTTCCTAAAGTTAGGGTTGCTTCCTCACTGTGGAGTGTGAAGGACCACATGAGAGGCTTTCCCGCAATCGAATTAAATGTTTTAAAATGGGGACTTTCAGTATCTTGGCAAGGGATACCTGACAGGTGGCCTGACAGAGCCCGGGATCGAACCGCTCACCTTCCGATCAGTGGACAAACACTCTCCCCATTAAATAGCATTATTCCTTTTTTTATAGATAAACAGAGAAGGAAGTAAACCACCAACATTGGCAGTGCTCTGAGGAAGACTACAGCATTAGTCAAAACTTGTCAGCATCAAAAGGTAAAAGCAAATCTTCTACTATGCTGTTTAAAAAAGATTTAAAACAATGGATGCATTATTCCCTGAAGGATAGTGGAAAACAACAAAGTGGTAGCCTGGCAAGCTGTTCTATATATGTGAATATATAGTCTGGCCACGACCCATAGACAGAGCTCGGTCGTGGACTGGAGTCTTCGGTTGTCTATCAAACATTCCCTACACTCAGTTAGACAGTGCTAGGACCAATCAGAGCAATGTGCAACGTCACGTATTCACCTCTACAAAAATCAGTCAGAGGGCCAGTCCGCCATACACCATTGAAGAAAAAGAAGAGGAGCATCCTTTAATGTGCAGAGCTCAGCATAAATGAGTACGTCCCTTTTAAAAAGTACAAATTGAATCAGTAGCTCAATGAACAAAAGAATAATTTCCAGAATTTTCACAAGGCTGGGTTTTATTGAACACTTGTTTAACTCCATAACATGAAATTAAGGTAATAATATAACTTAGATCACAAAATCTTCAGTATTGCTAAAATTGGTTGAAGCAAAAAAGGAATGCACCCCGCAACAAAAATGACTACATCTAGTATTTTGTATGACCACTGTGATGTTCAAGGACAGCAACAAGTGCTCTAGAAATGGCATGAACAAGTTGCCGACATATTTCAACATCTATCTTTTTCCATTCTTCAAGAAGAGCCTCTTTGAGAGCCTGGAATGCTGGATGGAGAGTGATGCTCAACCTGCTGCTTCAGAATTCCCTACAGGTGCTGGATTGGGTTCAGATCAGGAGACAGACTTGGCCATTCAATCACTTTCACCCTGTTCTTCTTCAGAAATGCAACAGTAGCTTTAGTTGTGTGTTTTGCGTCATTGTCTGTTGGAAAAGTGCACAACGGCCAAGTGCACGTAGTGATGGCTGCATCTTCTCCTTCAGTATAGAGCAGTACATCGTTGAGTTCATGATTCCAGTGAAATGCAGCTCCCCAACACCAGCAGCACTTATGCAGCCCGCATAAAGACACTGCAACCACCATGTTTCACTGTGGGCACCATGCATTTCTCTTTGAAATCCTCACCTTTACGACGCCATACAGTTTTAAAACCATTGGTTCCAAAAACAGTGATCTTTGTCTCACCTTTCAGAGTCTAGAGTCCCAGTAGTCTTCATCTCTTTCAGCATGGGCCCTAGCAAATCCTAGGTGCGCTTTTTTGTGCTTGGGTTTTAGGAGAGGCTTCCTTCGTAGACGATACCTATGCATGCCATTCCGCTGCAGTGTGTACCGTATGGTGTCGTGGGAAACTAAGCTCCAGTTTGGCTTTCTACTGCTTTAGCTAACTGCTATTGTCTTGCATGGTGATTTTCTTCAACACTTCTCATCAGAAAACGCTCTTGTCAAGAAGTTACCTTTTGTGGACGGCCTGGACGTCTCTGTAAGATGGTTGCACTTCCAACTTTCTTAAATTTTTTGGATCACTTTTGCTACAGTATTCTGACTGATTTGAAAAGCTTTGCTTAACTTCTTGTAGCCCTCAACTTTTTATGTAAAGAAATGATTTCCCTTTCTCGGATTCTGTGACATTCCTCTTCCATGTGGAGCCATTGCTGACAGCATAAAGTGGGATGGGCTTTTTTCTGTTAACGCCCTTTTATAGTCACCTGTCTGCTGGACACCTCTTAGATGAATCATTAGACTCACATGTGGTTGAATGCCTGTTAATTCAAATTTTGTAGTCTTGTGGCTTTTCTCCTAAGAATATAATTGTACTCATTTTTGCAACACGGGCTTGAATGGATTTGTTAGGAAAATCACTTTTTTGTGTGTGCAAATGAACAAATCATGTTTGCAATCAATGAGTCGTGTTTGTGGTATCTCATAGAAAAGGTTGATTCTGAAAGGAAACTAAAAGATTTCTGACAAATGTAGTGGGGTGTACTCATTTATGCTGAGCACTGTAGGTACCTCTATCTGCTCATGTCTCAAAATGCTAAATCGCCCAAAGTTGATACCAAAGCCGGTTCAAAGGAGCGACGTTCCTGAGACAACAGCATTTTAGAAAATTTTCTCCGTCACCGCACTGGTGCTAAGCCTGCTCAGCGTCCCTCTACAAACATAAAGCACTGTGATTGGCCCAACCTATAATTATTTGGGCCAATGGCAGACCTGCTGAGGCTACAGCGGAACGTGGCTAGACCGACCTGCAGCGCTAAGTCTTTTGCTACTGCTACGGTTTGTCTAGAGTTCTAGACCAACAAACTGGTACTTGTGGATTAAGATTTATACTCTTCAAATTAGGGCTGAACGATTAATTGCATATGCAATTAAATTGCGATGTGACAAAAGGAGATTTTCCAATCGCAAAGGCTGCGATTTGACTGGCTGCGAGTGGTTAGCACAATGCCAATATACATGGAAAACCCCATAGGGATGCTAATGGTAATGGTAATATCGCCAATTACATTCTTACAAATTACAAATTAGGAACGTGCCAAATGATTACATTTGGTGTCTAATAAAAAGTAAAAACTGCCATCAATCAAATAAGTACAGATAGATATTTTAGTAAAGCTAGAAAACCGTAAGAGACTTTAACTCCACTGAGTTTAGGCTAGCAGCTATGGATGTAACTGAACTACGGAAGCTCTGCATGGACAAAACTAGGGCCCGACCATTATGCTTTTTTTGGGACAGATACCGATATAAAACTTTTAACAAAGGCCGATAGCCGATATAATGGCCAATAAATCTCCCTCACACAAAAAAGAAATAAAAATTTTCTTATGCGTAAACCCTTCATTCTCCGCCTTTTTGATGCAAACTTATTTCTCTATTGCACACCAAAGAACTGTCTCAGTAACTCACTAGGGTTTCCAAGTAATACAAATAAGATTTATTTAGCAGATCTCAAAAACAACAGAACACACAGCATAAATCTAACATTCAAGTTTTTTCTTGTAAACGGTGGTTTCCACAAATACATTTTAACTTAAAGGAATATTCCACCACTCAGTAAAATTGTGTTTTGTTAAGATTCCCCAGAGTTATACAAGTCAGAAAAAGTATTTCATAACCAGCCCAATATGATCTGGCAGCAGTTGGTTTTCTTAGTTTAGCAAAAAACAATATAAGTGAATTCACATACATTGTAGTGGTTTTTTATGTAGGTGAATGCAAGCCTTCCCTTCCATTGCTTTATGCTAAAACAACTGGTTACAAAATGTTTTTTCTGACTCGGCTAGCTCTGGGGAATCTAACAACACACACAAGTTTAGGGACAGAAGATCCCTATAAGAATATTAAATTAATAAAAATGCAGCAATAAATAAAACGTAATACTTGTGCTTTGTAACAAAGTAACACTCTGTGGAAGTTAAATTGGTGAACTTATTCACGCTGGACAGGAAATAATTGCACATAAGAAACATAAATAAGAATAAATAAAAAAAAGTTCCAAAACAATCATTTCTGTTCAAAGTTCAAAGGAGTGGAGCCACACAACATGAGTTCATAAAGTTGGCGCCATCTGCTGGGTAGGTAGCACAATATCGGCCGTCTTTTTGGCCGATAGCCGATACTGTTAATGACCCCAATATCGGCCGATAATATCGGCCGGCCGATATATCGGTCGGGCCCTAGACAAAACGTCAAAAACTCTAAAAACAAAAGACTTCAATAAATGGGACACACTTCTTTCCTGCAAATCGTAGATAAATATGTATATACATAAACTTGTTACAGGGTATCCGTGGGTCCTTAAAAAGTCTTAAAAGTCTTAAATTTGCTTTTCTAAATTTAAGGCCTTAAAAATCCTTAAAAATGACAAATAATCCTTAAATACAGTTTCCAAAGGTCTTACATTACCAAAGACCCAATGAACAAGAATTTCTAGTGTTCAGCATTTTTTGTGTACGATATTGGCGTAAGCAGAACCGTACACATTCAGTTGGTTGTGAAAGAGGGCTATTTTTAGATGAGCACATTAGCTGGTTAAGCTAGTGGGAGCTTGTGCCATGGGGAAGTGCAAGTTTAATGGTAACTGGGTGGGTAATCTCACATTTGCGACATGGTTACCACCGGTTCCAGGCAATAGCTGGAAATTATAGCTTAAATTTAATTTTAAAAAATAGCTTAAATTTGGTCAAAGTGGCCTTAAAAAATGTCTTAAAAAGTCTTAAATTTGGCTCCCTTAACCCTGCAGATACCCTTTGTTAATATTCAGTACAAGTTACATAGATTTTTTTTGCTTCCATGAGAAAAGCCCCCTGAGAAAACAATCGTGAATTAAATCGCAATTGCAATATTGAAGAAAAAAAAAATCACAATTGGATTATTTTCTAGAATTGTTCAGCCCTACTTCAAATACATCATACCATTTTAGAGATAAATATTGTTCTTTCTATAAAATAATGCTTTTAGTAAAATGATTTTGATTTCTTATGTTACAGACATTTGTTTTTCTTATTTTGTCCACAAGATAAAATCAGAATTGACTTACAAAAATGTAAAGCAAACTTTATAGTATTTGAGTTTAGAATGTTTATTTTGGAGCTATAGATACCATATACAATCGATTTCTCCTCTTTTCCTTTTAACATCTGAGTAGTGGCGCAGTTTGCAGCACTGCAGGCTCTCAACGAGGTTTCAGGTTCGAGTCTTGGCTGCAGCCTTTCTTTGTGGAATTAGCATGTTCTCCTGACTCATCAGTGGGTTTTCTCTGTGTGTCCCAGTTTCCTACAACAGACTAAAAACATGCGTGTGTGGTTAACTGGCAACCCAAAATTGTCCCTAGGTGTGAGTCTGGGATGGACTGGTTACCCGTCCAGAATGTCCCATTCCTCTTGGTGGACACTGGAATTGGACACCAGCTTCCTGCGAACATTCTGAGGAAAAGCAGTTTAGAAAAGACGTTTGTGAGCAATGTGGTGCGATAAAAGCAAGGTTAAAGATTAGACCAGGACCAGACCACCTGCAGCTGATGACTTTCTGGTGTTATTATTAACCTGACTTGGTTGTAACCTGACTCATTCCTCATCAGGTATCTGCTGGATGGAAGGAACATGGAGGTGAACAGAAAAGAGGTGCCTTTGTATGTAAGTAATTGCATGTTCTCTCTAAGTGCCTCTCGTGTTGGTGTTCTAGCAGAAGGGGCTGTTGTTTTTCTTTGTTTTTCCCACGCCACCAGAATTAGAACACCGCCTTTGCTAACAGGTTGTCTCACCAGCCTTGTTTCGCTGGTGAAACCAAAGCCATTCAGTCTCAAGGGAAGTTGCGCCTAACACAAGCTGCTCAAGTGAAGATGATCTCTGAAACCACCTCCAAACACGAGGGTTAGAATCAAACAATAGCTGTTTTTTTACGGGATGCATTTTAAAGATGAAGACTATTCAACATCATTGATCTTTTTTAGTTTAGAACATTTACTTCTTCCCCGTCCACTGTATTATTTTTTTAGTGCCTGCCTCTCTGTGCCGTGTGTTTGCGTGCAAGCGAAAGCCTGGGTGGGCCCGCTGTTGAAACGCTGCCAGGTTTCTTGTGAGCAGAGCGTCTGCTTGTTTTGCTGTGTCACCGATTTCAGAAAGCAGGGGGAGGGGTGGGGGAGGCCTTAACCTCCACTTGTATGGGACGTAAATCATTATGGGCTGCTCCAGCGGTCGTGCACACACCTCCCAGTTAAGAGGAAGCAGCGTCTCCGCCCTCGAAGGTCACAGCTCAACGGGAGCAAATCTCAAATGAGATCCAGATTTGAATGCTGGGCTTTGTGCAGGCGAGTCGTGGCACACTGCTGTGATATAAAGGCTGCTATTGTAACACATCTAGTCAAGGTTTATGGGGCACCTTTACACATGTAACATAGTGTCAGGCCAGTTACAGATACTGGCAGGATCAGTGGATAAAAGGAGGCTTTGAGTTTGACCAGAAAGAGTTTATGTTTCCGCGTTAAAACTGCTTTTCTTTCTGAGGCTTGATGCTTGACCTTGTCTGAATATTTAGGACATGTATCATCAACCCCAGTACACGAGGGGTCCATTCTATATGTTTTACATGTTTCCTGCTCCAACACACCTGGAATAAATAATTTATTAACCTCTTTACCTCGTTGAGTTCTGCAGAAGCCTGCTGAGCAGTATTCCATGTAAATCAGGTGTGTTGCAGGAAGAAAGCACGGGAAACCTTGCCTGGAAGCCAAAATGTAATCTGACCATGACCCACTGAAACAACCCAGCCGTAGAGCAGAATCTACAGTTGTCTTTCAAACTGTCTCCACGTGTAACTGGACAGTGCTAGGACCAATCAGAGCTACGAGCAACGTGGCTTTTTCATCGCAACAGCAATCAGTCAAAGGAGCAGTCTGACTGCCATACACTGTCGAAGAAGAGAAATAAGCAAATGCATCCTGTTTGGAAATAAATGACTTAAGTAGCTCTATATGCTCATGTCTCACAGAAAGGCTCAAGTCTAATAATGTTGCAGAGAATTTATCAAGCACTTGTTTTTCAGGAATGTGAATAACTATTTAAATAAATTCGGCAGCAGCACCTGGCTTTAAAAATCAGCCCTACTAAAGAGGTATATCGGTCAGTGCGATATGTAAAAGTGGTAAATACTGGCCTGATTATCTGTCTTTCTCTAGAAACAAGCAGCTGAGTCTCCATGCTGGATAGCCAAGAGCTGGGGTCTCCAACCCTGGTGCTCAGTGGCCGCTATCCAGCATGTTTTAGATATTTCTCTGCTCCACCACACCTGATTCAGTTGTTGAGTTGCCTGTGAATTGCCCGCTGATTAAAGCAGAGAAATCTCTGAATTTTACAGGCTTTCTCTGCTTGACCACACCTGTACCGTTGCGTCAGGGCCCAAACATGAATGTTTGGATGAACCGAGCTTCTGCACCAGCCTTTAGGTGTGGTATTTGACACTGTGAGTGTAAAGGTTGAGGTCTTTCAGCATTTTGTTGCTTCTTTTGATTTGATTGTCTCACTTGTTTTGCAATTATTCTAATTTAATTTTCTTTGAGCTGCTTGGGAGGATTATTGGAAATGTACAGCTGAGCTTGTTTGTGGGGATTAAATGGAATTTGTGTTGCCGTTTTAATTGTGAGTCAGATGAGTGGAACGCTGACGTCAGGTTACCGTCTCTCCGAACCCAAGTGTTTTGTTATTGGAGCTGTTTTTGTTGTTGCAGCGGTCCTGGTCTTGCTCCCCTGATGTCAAATACATGTTGTACTCAGGAGATCAGAGCTAAGAACTCCGGTTGATAACTGCTGGTTTCCTGGAGACCAAACAGCAGATTTGATGTTTTTTTTCCTCTGAACAGACCTCAACATGTTTGGATTATATAGCCTCCCACTTAATGGGGGTCATGTTTGAATTAAAAAAACAAACAGCAGGTGTTATGTTATATGTCAGACAGGAGCCTTTGTCTGATTGCGTTTGTGATTGATCTGCTCATGTTTTTAATCTCATAATGACGTTGAAACCACCCTCATGGGAAGCTTGAGGTGAAGCCACGAGGTGTTGAATAATTCATTGTTTCTGGATCAGGTTGTGTCGCGATAACATAGTGAGGATCACATCAGCCTGTCACGTTTTTAGCCACACTCCTTGTTCTCTCTCTACAAGGCTCAGGAGGTACCGTCCAGATTGCTACAATTCTGTTTGATCAAATTGTGTCCGATGAAATAATATTGTCCATGGCTGCTGCAGACTGTTGGGACGGTTAGGTGGAAACTATAGTGTCACTGGAGGGACATAAAGACTTCTTATGCTTCTGTTTCTTAAATAAGGAAAAGGAGAAATTTAGTTAGGAAACGTTGATCAAAGAGCATTTCTGTTTTATTAAACAGACATCCAGTGTCTGGTTTGCTAAACCATAAGGTGACATCTTCTCAGTTTCTTCGACCCCCCCCAAAACAATCAACGATAGCCCAAAGTGTTCATGAAGTGGTACTGCTGCTTACCACTTAGTGCACACAGCAGGCTGAGAAACTGCAGGCTGTGTCTGACCACGTTATCAGTCCACACCAACAGTCTGCTCACACAAAAGGTCATCTGAACTTCTGCCTCCTAACTACTATTCACCAGGCTCAGAGAGACACTCTTAAAGCCATGAAGTGCCCTGTATTGGGAAATAAATGTGACATTAATGCAGTGTAATTGCTTTACAGGGCTATTTTGATAAATTAAATGTGCATTTTTGGTGTTAAATTGCTAAAGTGATACTTAGCAACTTTTTCATATTGTTAAATAATTTTCTTGAGCCAGTATAGGGAGCCTAAGACACTTCGGAAGAACGGAAAAATGAATGCAAGTCAACGGGGCTAAAAACGCTATTTTTTAATACGTTTTGCCTTACGCCCTGGATCGCACACATGTTGTACTGCAATTTAAATGAAAAGTAATGATGGGTGTTTCGACCATGCCAGTCCCGTACTTTGAGATTTATTAGCTTGTAAAATTTCGTAATTAACATGACTACAAACTAGAAATCGGCATGTCGCATATGTGACGTCACCACATAATCTTCTCTCCCCAAAGTAGCTGCTACCTTCCAAATAAGCAGGTTTATGGTGGTTCTTTCCTCCTGTGGCAAGTTTGCTGAACTTATAGCACTTTTCCCTCAGTTTTCTCCGTGTCTGGTTTGATGTGCATTTGTAGTCCTGGACTTACTGTCACACAAAACCTAAAAAATCGTTCCTCCCATTCGAAAATAAGCACGTTCTTGGTCTTAAAATGCGTCTTTAAAATTCACGGACATCATATGCGAAATCCATGGCACAAAACAAGTGGAATTAGAAAATAGCGTTTTTAGCCCCGTTGACTTGCATTCATTTTTTCATTCTTTGTTGGGTGAAGTGTCTTGCCCAAGGATACAACAGCAGAATACCCCTGGCATGAGCTGGAATCGAACCCATGACCCTCCGATCATGAGGCAACCCGCTCTACCACCTGAGCAACTGCTGCCCCTAAGCTAACAGCTTTTCTGAGCACAGCGAAAGAAAATATTGATACACTCAAATATTGTGATACTGATACTGATCGTGAGACAGAATAAGTATTTAAAAGCAACAAGTTGAATTTTTATGAGAATTTAAATGCAAACATGTACTGTATTTCTTTTGTGTGGTGTAATTCAACCTCCGACTGCTAGGTGGCAGCAGTTTTTATCGTCTTCATTCTGACAGATCAACAAGATCTTGCAATAACGCTGGATGTGTCTTGGAAAATTCTGAGTTTTCCAATGAAATCGTCTGAAAAATTGAGAACATCATCTGGTTTTTAGTGTCGCAATATACGGTATCGTCTCCCCTGTCTTGTGACATGCATCGTATTTCCAGATTCTTGTCAGTACACACCCCCATTGGACTGAGTACATTAAACTTGATGTGGATTACTTTTATTGGAGTACAGAAATTGGACCCATGTGGATGGTCTGTCAATGATATAAGGCTTTGAATGGTGAGTTGGAGACTATTTTGCATTTCCGAGTAGTTTGATGAATTGTTTACTGTGTTTATCCGTTATGATTGTATCATGTTGCTTTGTCACGGAAGAATGCAATTTACAGCCCATGGTACGTAAAACGGCAACAGGTTAAATGTCAACAAACTGGCAGGAGTGTAGCATAACTTACAAGATTGCAGGTTTGATCCTGGCTCCTGCCATAGAATGCTGCTGTTGTGTTCTTGGGCAAGACTCTTAAACCGCCTTTCCTGCTGGTGGTTGTCGGAGGGATCGGTGGTGCCAGTGCTCAGCAGTGTTGCCTCTGTCAGTGTGCCCCAGGGCAGCTGTAGCTACATCATAGCTCATCCCCACCAGCGTGCGAATGTGTGAATGACCGATTGTGTTGTGAAGCACCTTGGGGGGTTGTAGAACCCTAAGAAAGTGCTATACAAAAACAGGCCATTTACCATATATTTACTTACTAAACATCACCAAAACAAAGTTATTCCATTTAATGATTTGTTATACGCCATGAGACTACATACTGCTCAGTGATTATGTGTTTCACCAGGGCAGCTATTAACGTCGACCAACATGTTGAATCCTATTTCTCTGAACAGAGGCTGTTCAAGATGCTGTCTATGATGGGTAAGACTCTAATTAGTCATAACATGAGTGCAGAAACATCCTTTAAAATGTCTGAAATGTTCCTTTGACTGCTCAGCTACAGTTCAGGGGTCTCATTTATCAAAGATTGTGTAGAATCCTTACTAAAACCGTACTTAAGCTCAGCAAAAAAATGTACTTACGCCAAGCAGGTTTGTGACTTATCAAACATGGAGTATGCACAGCTGCACGCAATCTCCGCTTCATAAAACAGAAACCATCTAGAAAGTTTCTCAGCAGCTTTTTAGTCACATCCCGCCCTCACCACGCCCACTTACTGCCATAAATAGTCAATGCAAAGTGCCTTGTGGATCTCATGCATATACATAAGCCGGCTTGTTGCAGCACTCCGCCAGTGGCGACCGTAGATCAAGGCAGATCAAGTAAGCGCTATTTCACAGAAGCAGAAATTCAGGTACTTGTGGGTGAGGTGGAGAAATGAAAGGAAGTACTTTTGCAAAACAAATAAGAGAAAATCCACAGAGTGGCACAGCGTTGCTGAAGCCGTCAATGTTGTGAATTCTTCAGAGAGATCTGTGGCGAATATAAAAAAAATGGTCCAATTGGGATTCGTTCCTAAGATTCCCCGGTGAAAGTCACGCGCGCTAACCAGTCAGCCAAACGGAGATCTCCCTTGACCAAATAGCCAGGGCACATGATCAATCAGGTCACAGTGACAGGACACACACTGTCACAGACGCATGACATTCTGTCTCAATCTGTCCCCCTGCTGATATTCTGCATTCCGTATTCTGCGCTTCAGGCTGTGTGTGTGCACACGCACACGTGTGTGTGAGTGTGCACACACACACGTGTGCGTGTGGGGGGTCTTGTTCTGTGTGAAAACGAAGCGGTACAAGTGATAATGCTGCAAGATTTCATAATTTTATCCTTCTCAGCAGCAGCACTGCAGGTGCTCTCCATGTCCAAAACGTGCGTAAGCGAGGTCCTTAAGCCTGGTTTATGCTTCTCCGTCAGCTCCGCAAGGGACAGACACGCACGGACTGACGGAAGCGTTTTGCTCTTGTACTTCTCCGTCTCCTGGAGAGTGTTGCAAAGCAATTGCCCTGCAGGACAACAGAGGGTGTAGCGCTGTTCTGTGGTATCCTGTCATGCATCGGTCCAAGATCGTGTGTTTATTTTGTGTTTTTTGTGTATATAAGTGACTTTTAACAGGGACATATTTGTCTCTCATTCTCCCACCCCTTCATGCGCTCCCCACCTCTAAACCCACGTTTCCTGTCATTTCCGTCCACAAATAAAATGCTTGCTGCGCATCTTTTCACTCCTCCAGTCACGGGAGAATTAAACGTTCATATTTTTAGAGTTTTTTCGCGAGGTATTCTTCAAGCTTCTCCGTGTCTGCCGCTAGTTATCCTCGGCTCTCTTTGCAATGGCGGCGCTGTAAACAACAGCGGCATCCTGACCAATCACAAGCTTGCGTAATCCGTCTCGTTTGACGGATGTTTAAAAAAGTGGGCTCGACTCCGTACGTACTTGCGTGCCCTACGCAAGTACGGATAATGGCGTTGCGTGTCTCCGCACTGACGCAGACGGAGAAGCATAAATCAGGCTTTAGCCAACTTAAAGTTGTGCACATTTTTCCGCTAAGTTTTCTTTGATAAATCCCAAAGTTTGCGTGGAAAGTAGCTTACGCAATTTTCCGACCTCGTTTTGTGTGTAAGCAAGCTTGATAAATGAGGCCCCTGGTGACTTCTGCTGATCTTATTTTAAGAAATATGAGGATTGATTTCACAATAAAAGTACACCGATTGCACTGTGAGTAAAAATACCAGCATTTGTTAAATCAACAGATGTAGACACTTAAGACATTTATGCATGATGGATGTTTTTGACTGAAGAGTTAACAAAAGAACCCTCCATTAATCAGAAGATAGTCTCAGTGTGAGCCTGAGAGAATGAATAATGGGACTGTGGAACTTCATGTATGTGACCCCAGATACACTAACTGACCCACGCTTAAAAGGTCAGCCTCTAGTGGAAAATTACAGAGGAAGTGAACTTGACTTTGTAAAGATGTGAAGGGGTCAGTGTTGTAGCACATTTTTAAAAAAGTTTTTCCGTTGTTGGATTTTGTTGTGGAAAATGTTCAGGTATGTGAGGAACAAAGTGAAAGTCCGGTCTGTTTTCTCATGTTTTTGGGTCACTGTGTGTTTGTGTACACTCAGCACTAAGCTCTGCTTGATGACTGTTGTTGCTTCTATTGCAAGCACTCATCAAATCGAAGCAAAAGAAAATATGGCTCCAGGTCAGGGTGATGCAAGAAGGGAAAATGGGTGGATGAGGTCAACTAGTGAACAAGGTTGATGCTTTAGGGGTGCTCACACTTTTTCATCTTGCGAGCTACTTATAAAATGACCAAGTCAAAATGATTTACCCTACTACAAAACATTTTTACTCAGGCCACTCATTTTACCTTTCTGAAGAAAATCGAGCGCTAAAAATGGAATATTACTTGCTGTCTAGCTTGCTAGTTTTGCCGCTGTTGTGCGCCGTTTTGCGCATGCACAGTGATCTATGACCAGAAGATAAAAATATCACGTTTGACATCTCATATAATGTTGTTCCTCTCCACTGCCAGGTTAAATCAATGAAAAACACCACTGCTCATCTCAAACCATGCTTGGAGTAAATAATTTGTGAGGTCACACGCATAGACGTAATCTATATAAATAAGAAATTGGATCTTTGAAATAGACTTTTATTTTGAAGTACTGAAAGTGTGTGTGATTTCCTGTCTAGCCCTATGTTATTTACGGACATTGACGCGGCAAGCTGTAAAAATAGAATCCAATCCTCTTTGACGGCGCGGCCGGTTGAGATCACTTTTATAGACTGTATTGGATTATTTTTGAAGCGGTGATGTAAAAACTGACTGGCTGCCATATATTTCAATCAACTTACAGGATGGCTGATAGGCTGACATAATTTTTCATGAGATCTACCCACGCTACCTTTGTGATCAACTAGTAAATTGCGATCGACGTAATGATCACCCCTGCTTAAAAGAATCACTCACTGTGATGGTGGCATGCAACAGGGACCCTGAGAAGGTGTCTTGTCCACTTTTTTCTTCTTTTTCCTTCTTTCACACGTTTTATTTTCTGGTATTCAGTAAAGCAGGTGCTGTGAAACTGAACCAAATCAGATTTGTTTTCCTACATTTTGATTAGGAATTAATTCCTCTCAAAGAAAACAATGATACAGGTTGTTACTGTGTAAAAACCAGACCCTCGTCGGTGTTACAGCACTCTAAATGCATTTCAAAGTAATGATGTAAGAAAATGTCGATACACTTAAATATGTGCTCTTTCTTTTTATGTTTGCATCTTTAGTTATTCTTATTTTTTGTTTGTCTATTTTAATGGAATGTTTCTATCTGACTGTTTTTAAATTGTATAGTGTTACTTGTTTTACTTAGTTATCTTGTTGACGGACTACAGATGCAAATTAGCAACTATGCTATAATCTGGCCCATTTACGATCGATACAGTGTATTTGATTGTTTATTTATGTGCATTGTCCTGAATAAAGAATTGAAATTGAAAATTCTTTTTATGATACTGAATCGATATTTAAAAGCAGTGTATCGACTTTTTATTGAGAACTTTCATGAAAACATTTAATGTATTTCTTTAGTGTGGTGCAATTCTAACTCCAACATCTAGGTGGCAGCAGTTTTTACTGCCTTCATTCTGACGGATCAATGAGATTTTGTATCTTGGAAGCATCTGGCCTGAGTTTTCCAACTTAGTCTTTAAAGTTGCAAATATCATCTGGCTTTTAGTATCGTGAGGTATCGTATCCCCTCCCATGTATTGTGACTTTTTGCCAAATATTTGCCAATCTCTTTTTTCTCAGGGACAAGTTGAAAGTCAAGTGATGCTACAAGAAAGACTTCCTGAAGATGCACTGTTTTATGTTGTCGTTCGAGGCTCTAGACTTACACACGTGACGGCGGCAAAAACAGGCGACGATGAGCAGACCCTTTCTTTTGTGGTACCAGGTGAGTCCTTCGGTCATGCTATCAGTCTTTACCTTACATTTCCCCAGAGATCTTTTATGGTTTTCGATATTTTCTCTCTTTTTCCACAGGCCACGATCGTGCAGAAGTTGTATCTGTTACAGCCTACTGTTATAGAAATGATCAGTTTCATCCATGCCAGGGTAAATCATACATTAAATACCTCAGAGATGTTGCCCAGGAGGCAGCAGAGTTTTTTAGTGCAAACAGGGACCAGTTTGGACCTCAGAGCTACCAGGAAGTCCTGAGCAGGTTTCCTATGTTAGGGCAGGCAGCTGACGAGGAACTCGGGGATGGACTATTTGACTGCAGCAAGCAGCTTCCAAGCATAAAAAGCGAGCTGGATGAGAGAATCACGGAGGCTCTGGCCAACATGGAATACCTTCAGAAGTGGAGAAATACATACCATCATTCTGATGAAGGTAATGTAGGGGTTGGGCTGGAGTGTAAATCACGAGCTGGGGTCATTAGGTTATGTTTGTGGACAGCAGCTGCCCAGCTGACTTGGGTGGATTAATTTTCCTGTCTTTGAAGAAGCAAGGATGTTTAGAGGGAAACCTCAACGTGTCTTTGTTAGCACCCTTCCACTTTCTGGAACATCCACCAAAGCAGTTATTAGGAAATCCCTCTGTGCTTAGAAAACCCTTTTCTATATTTATTCATTTGTTTTGATTTATTTCATTTTTGTCTTTACTGTTAATTAGGACATTTGGTCCTTTGACCGCACCTACAGAGCTGCTAAGCAAACATAAAATACTTTTGGAATATATACCTACACATTATGATATCACTTGCCAGAGGTGTGTCCAAGTCCCTGCTTTGCAAGTCACAAGTATGTCACAAGTCTTTCCAGTCAAGTCTCAAGTCCAAGTCAAAGACAAGCAAGTCCAAGTCGAGTCCAAAGTCAATGATGTGGAAGTCCAAGTCAAGTCCAAGTCCTTAACTTTGAATTTTCAAGTCATAATCAAGTCATCTGTCCAACTTCAATTTAATGACGATGATGATAAATAAATTCCAGAAATAAAGCTTCTTAAAGCTTCATTTATTTTCTCAAACAAGCAGAAAGTGCAACTGAAACTGATTATAAACAAAGAGCTGCTGCATTTAGCAGTAAATCAAACCCAGAACGAAGAATGATTCATGATTTTTGTCCATGTCGTGCCACTTTTTGTGCTAAAATATCAAACATGCTCAAGTCATCATCAAGTCAACAGATGCAAGTCGATTCAAGCCGCAAGTCATTGGCATTCAAGTTCTAGTCAAGTCGTGAGTCTTTATAGATTTTGTCAAGTCAGAAGTCATTAAAATAATGACTCGAGTCCAAGTCATGCGACTCGAGTCCACACCTCTGTCACTTGCCAAATAACAGGCTGTTATAATACATATTTATAACATCCTCACATTTTGTGACAGTTAGGCTCATGCAGCAGCATCTGTGCAACGACTGCCTCCATATTGCTTCTACATTGAGAACAGAAAGATGTGTTGTGAAACATTTTCTGTATGTATAATATTTAGCTTAGCACAATAAATAATAGTGTCATCAGCATAGAGATGAATATCATAGTTTGAGCAACTGAGAGGAAGGTCATTAATAAAAATTGAAAATAAAGAGGTTCAAGAGATGAACCTTGAGGAACACCTTTATCTATGCCTTTAAAATCAGACTGGCTATCCCCATCCTTACTTTTCTAAACTGACCCAAGTCCTTCTTTAAAAAAAATATATATAAATTTGGCTGTAGTTACACTTTAGTCATCAAACTAGTTTTTAGGACTCGAACAGTGCACTGTAGTGTGTGCATGGTCAGAACTTGTTTGAGATAAAGCAAATGTTCATGCAAATGTAGGCAAGGTGCAAATGCATAGCAGCTGCCTGCCCCTCTTGTGGCTTCTCTGTTTGCAGAAACGACAACCTGACAATGACTTTCTTGTTTGTTGACCTTTGCATGAAAATTATGTGCAGTATTTACTCCCCACGGTTGGCCAAAACTGGGTCACAATTAATGGCACCATTGTGGAGCTGGTGGGGCATTTCAGTTCATCTTTGACATCAAGCAATGACGTGGCTAAAGCAGGCATCCAGTTACAGATGTACTTGATTTTTTCTGCTGTGTTTCGTCAGGGTTTGAAGGACAGGACTACAGATTAAATACACATCGACATTTTAAAACTACTTTTCATTTGTGCTTAGAAATCAAAAAGAACAAAGTCATGCAGTACTAGGATGGTGTTTCTGCATCTGAGCTGACAGAATGAACATTTACTTGAGGGTAAAAGAGCTCATACACGTACTGTTTATAGTCCTGTCTACTCCATTGAGCAGGAGGCAGTGGCTGTTGCACAGCAGGCGGGTGATCAGCCAAACATCCAGTTTTTCTAGGTAGTAAAGATATACCATGAACATTACATAACCAAGTGCTATTCATTCCAGTTTTATGCACGTCTCTGTTGCTACACATTCCTTACAAACACCATATGTGATGTTTACAACAGCTTGACACAAAATCTAATGCTTTCATTCAAACAGGTGAATCTATTAGTTGGATAAAAGAGACACAGAGTCTCAAGGCTTGGGGGAGTCAAGTCTCTTACCCTGCTCTTCAATGGAAACTTACCATGATGTTTTGGATGTTGTGGGAGTGTCATGGTTGACACACCTCATAAATGTTGCATAGAGAACCATGGCTACAACTTTGGAAAGACAGACCAAAGCAGCGGTCCCAAATTTTAAGGACCAGAGTGTGTTCTCACCATCGGGGATCACACTGCTCAGCTTTCCCTTCAGGAAGGTTTACTCTAGGATCTTGGAAAGGAGGCTCTGACGTATTGTTGAATCTCAGCTGTAGGAGGGACCGGAATTGACGGTGAGTCAAAGCAGATCGCTCAACTATAAAGTTCATGATTTTTGCCACTGTGGCCATGACATCATTAAGATCTGAATTTGACATCTTGGCACAGAGGTTTTATTGGTTTATTATTCAGTGCAGCTTCATGATGGGATTGCCTACTTGTTCCTCTATTAAAGTCTCAACCCCCTTGTGTTTCTCAACCATAGCTGGGGCACCATCAGTTGTCGCTGCAAGAGTCTTTGCATTGTCAATGCCTCACTCCTCAAATTGCTCCTCAAAAATGTTGACAGTATTCTCACCTCATGTTGTTTCAGACATCGGGGTTAGGCAGAATAGTTTCTCTTGTACTGCCCCGTCACATTATCTTACCATTACAGCAAAATGTGGCACATCATTGATATCAACGCTTACATCCAAAGCTACACTGAACACTTAGGCCTCTTTCAAACCAGCTGTTTGTTGGGCTCTGACATTGTCACCCACTTCCTGGATGCGTCTTTCCACAGTTCTGGCTGATGCAGGTGTATCTTGAGTCTTTGCTTTAATTGCGTCTTTGTTAGGACGCTCATAAATTAATACGTCTGAGGTACAGAGAAAAGTCGCCATCTGTGAATGGCTGTTTAGCAGTAGTACAGTGTGCAATAGTTCCACGGTGTTTAGTGGCTGTAAAAGCTTTCAGGGTTCTTGTTTGCTTGCTTCTCATGTCTTCACACAGCACGTGTAATTGATTCAACCTTCTCTGTCTCATTCTTGAAAGATTGGTAGTTACCGGCCAAAATTACGTCTTTTCACGCTAATTTAGAATTTGGACTGGCGGGCCGTTGTTTGGATTGCATATTGTGGCATTTTATTGCTGATAGAGGCAGTTATTTCTGTCTTTCGGTTTATTTTTAGCTTACAAATATCACAGCGATACAACTGAGACAATCCCCAAATAACAGGACAAAAACTAAATAAATTCACCCAAACCTCCTCTTATTCTATGCCACATTTTTGCACACCCACCTGTTGCCAAGGCAATCTGCTGACAGCGTGCTGCACCAGGTGAGAGGACTGACAGCTTCACGTTTCAACTTTGTAACGTGTTTAGTGACTAAAGAAAAACAAAACCAAGATTAGAACTGAAAATTGAGTCCATCACAACATTTATATTTCTACACATCTTATCAGATTAATGCTTTGCGTGGCAAAGTTAACCCTTCGTGTGCTAACGGGTCTGAGTGCCCAGGGTTGCCAACCCCTGGTTTACTTCATGGTCTGACCTTGGATACGCAGCTAAACAAATGGATGGAAGTAGAGTAAAAACTGAAATAAATGTGGACACTTGGGATTTCCCTGCAACAATAGATAACAGAATAAATATGCACAATTGGCATAATTTCACACCTTGATTCCTGTGTTTAGTTAGTTTTTTGGTCTTTTGTTTCTTTAGTTGCTGAACACCCTAATGAAACCCTCCTTCATCTTGCGGTGCATTTGGGTTTACCACACCTGGCCCATTTTCTAATTCACCCACCGAGAGGACAAGAAGCATTGATGTCACCTGATGAGGAAGGAGAAACGCTGCTCCAACTGGCTCAGACAGATGGATTTTATTCGATGTTCAGGACGCTGACCGAGTAAGGCTATTGTTATGTCCTGTGTCAGATTTTTGCATAAACACATACATTCATGAATAAAATGTGCAATGAAATCTTATAACACACACAAAATTCAAATTAGTTTACCAAGTGGGAGGAAAAACCTGATACTCTCAGGTGGATCTGCCATCACTCAGGCTTCAAACAACAGATGAAATCTTAGTCTGTAAACACAGACTGCAGAGTAAACTTCAGGTGTAATGAGGCAGCAGTTCCTGCTCAGGGCTAGAAGTTCTTTATAGGAAACAACCAGCGGTGTTGCAAACAGGATTATCACTTTAGCTAGTCTGGAATAAAAAATATATTTAAAAAGACTTGAACTGAAAAAGTCAGACTAATTGAGATTTAGGTATCACAAAATTAGAAGACATTTTCACTAAATACATCAAATATTTTAATCTTAACAGTTGAAACCAACTCAAGAACAAGAACATTTTAAGGCATAATCCTCAGAGTTTAAAGCTGTAATGGCAAATCTGCAAAACGACCTAGCTTTTAAACATAAACAAGGTAACATAACTCTCACCCCTCCCATTTGCTATCATTCCTAGGCCACACACCCCTGATACTGGAACGTGCTATGCCATAAAATACGGACGTGTGGTGGTTCAGTGAGACTGACAACCGGATGGTCCAATAGTAGGTTTTGGACTGAGCCATGTTAGACAAATGCAGAGAACATCTCATCAATTTTTTCATTTAATTTTTTTTAATCCCAACAAACTATTTATAGCTAGACTATGTTAGAACATTGTTAAAAGGCATGACACAATGTTTTAAACTAATTTGCTTTGCAGATTTGCCGTTGTAGCTTTAATATAAATACTATACCCCATCATTTGTACCTGAGTTATTCTTTGTAGTGCTTATCTCTCTCTCTCTCCTCATCAGTCCATCAGGGCCTGAAGACACTCCCCCGCCTGGTGTGTGGTGCTTGTGGTCCGACAGCTCCCGCATGCTGAGGCTCTGTCCAAGAACAGGTTCTGTCATCCTCTCTGTGCAGCAGCCACCTGAAAGCTGCCCTCTGGATGCCATTAAGGTCCTTCGAGAAAAACTAGAAGACAACAAGGTTTACGAACTGGTGAGACCAACATACTACAATTCCTATTCTGATGTTGACTGAATAAATTGAATGTTTTCATGCATCTCCATAAATGTTGCATCGTGACATTGCTATCCAGATAATGCCAGATGCAGGGACTATATTAGGGATGACGTAAACTAAGATTTTTATTCTTATGCTTTTTCACATAAAACTGGTAGAGCCATGTTCCAGTAACATTGTGCACTTCAACAGGATAATTTTGATTTTGATTTGGTTCTTGTATAAAGATGACGAAAAATATCAGCTCACCTGTAACAGATTGCTTTTTGAATAGCCTCAGTTTGGAGAAACAGACGGGTCCCCATCAGACCAACAAGCTAACAGCTAGTCATATTGAGGAAAGTGCATCGTTGTTGCCTTAAAACAACCCCAATCAGACATTTCATAGTACTTCCTGCAAACATTCAATTCAATTCAATTCAATTCAAAAGTACTTTATTAATCCCAGAGGGAAATTAGAGTTTCAGTACACACAATTCTGAGATCAGGCATACATACATAGACACATGACAAGAATTGGTGACTGTGGTCATTTGCAACCCGAGTTGCGCTACCGTTATAGATCAAGAGGGTTTATATGAGGATTGGGTCAGGGGGAGGGAAAAGGGCACTTCAGAGTTACCCTCTACAGAGAGGATAGCTTTGCTATGCAAAAAAACACCTCAGACAGATATGCTCACAGACTTCAAACGATACACACACAAGTGTCCACTAGGTGGGGAGGTAGGTTGGGACTCTCCTCACTTCAGTGCCTGCAGCTGCCTGGAGCAGCGCTCATCACCTCCGTTTTGGACAGGGGAGGGAGATAATGGGTTAGAGAGCACAGTGACTCCTAGATACGGTTCCACGGCCTTCACCGGTCACAGTCCCGCCCAGGCTGGGATAGGGAGAAAGGGTTTCCATAGCAACAGCAGCATTCCACATTTCTTCTGAGGGGGTTTACATTTCAGCCTCGCAGGCTTCAAGGGCACCAGATTCAGATAAGAATTATTTTGGTTACAGGCTGAGATAATTTCCTCTCTGCCTTAGAGTCCTGTTGGTCTTCAACCCCTCTAGTTCTAATAATGGCGTAATTAATCCCAATCCGTGCTGATCCGTCAACTCGCTCCTTGATGGTATCCACCTTTTGTGCCAGAGCCTGAATCTCTGCCAAAGTTCCAAGCTTACGACTCATCTCGACAATTATATGAGTTTGTGCTTTCACAGCACGATGCATTCCATCCCTGAGCTCCGGGACTGAGCCAATATTCCTCGAAAGCTCGTAAATTTTCCGGTAAGCCAGGTAACTGCTCAGGCCAAACAGCAGGAATCCCGACACCAAAACGACAAATATTCAAACATCTTCAGAATCCTCTACAGACAGTTGAGAGAGGCATATCAGATTCCACTGTTTCTAGGAGTCCATGATATACCCAGCTGGCTCTGTCCCAGAGGGGCATCCGGGAGCCCCTTCTCCCGTTCTCATCGTTGAAAAAATTTTGTCAATCGCATTGAGAGACCAACTGACCAGATCCATTTTAACAATTTCCAGTTTCCAGAAAAGATGCAGAAAGCGCCGTGCACACAAAGACAGGACAAAGAGCCTTGGGATAAGGAGGGAGGGAGAGGAGAAAAAAGCGTCTGTACTCGCAAAGAGCCGGAAGAAGAACAAATATTTTGGCTATACATTAATCATTAAAATAGGGCTGCACAGTGGCGCAGTGGTTAGCATTGTTGCCTTGCAGCAAGATGGTCCTGGGTTCACATCCTGACCTGGGGTCTTTCTTCATGGAGTTAGCATGCTCTCCCTGTGCATACGTGGGTTCTCTTCGGGTACTGCGGCTTCCTCCCACAGTCCAAAAACATGACCGTCATGTCTAAATTGTCCTTAGGTGTGTGTGTGTGTGTGCTTGGTTGTTTGTCCTGTGTGTCTCTGTGTTGCCCTGCTATGGACTGGCAGTCTGTCCAGGGTGTACTCCGCCTGTTTGCTCGTTGACTGCTGGAGATAGATGCCAGCCCCCCCCCCCCTCGACCCCACATGAACAAGCGGGTTCAGAATATATATGGATGGATGGATTTATCATCAAAATTTCTTGTAATGAAGTTTCATTTGAAGGAACTACAGATCACTAAACCTGCTGCCAATTTAACTACAACATTTTATGTAAATCAAGTTTACCTACACAGGTTTCTAAAAGAGTGTTTAAAAATAACTGCTGCAACATTCTAGTTTGGGCTCTAATCAGACTAGCTGTTAGCTCGTCAATCCAGTCAGAACTGAGATCATCATAGAGATAGCTGTAACAGCTAAGGCAATTGTTTGTACGCAGTTCAAGATCTGACCTACTCCTAAAAGGCATTTTTCATTGCTTGACCCATGCTTGGCTGTTATTTATCCCAGTTTAAACTTATTTGCTTCTATTTAAGATCAGTGTGGTCCGATTTGATGCTGGTGGAGACAAAAGAGCCAAAGTTGAAGGTCAACATAGTGATGAAGGTAAGCAGTTTTTTGTAGTTATGGTTTTTGTTAGTAGCGTTGTTTCCAGTGGCCATTTAATAGTTTCAGAATTGTTAGCATTTCTCTCTAATATTTCATACTTTCCTAGTTAAAATAGTTACAATAACAATTGTAACAGTCTAATCTTCTCTATGAGCTCAGACCACACACGTGTCTGTCCCTTTTGCCTCACTTTGTCACACGGATGTTCCTGCTGTTTACCTCATTCCCTGAAAAACTGATCTGGACTCACTTGGACATCACACATTGATTTTCATTAATTTTAAGGCTTTTTGTTGGTGTCACACTTCTGGTTTTGTCTGACTTAATTTCATTCATTCACCCGAAATCAAACAGTTAAGGATTTTTTGTACAGAGAAATTGAGATAGGATTTTTTTTTTACACATTTTCTTGTTACCTAGGACACAGAATAGAGATTTGACTTGTCAGAAAATAATAATCAAAAGGATTATACAATGCTGCAGATAATTATTAGCTTCAGACTTTGTGCTGTCATTATCCTGGCGTGCAGATGCAGCTGAAACGTGCCATCTGTGCGTGGGTTTGTGAGTGCAGAGACTTCCCGGTGGGGCTGCAGAAAGTGATCAGCCACTGATTCAATTGTGCAAACACAGTCTGACATCCATCACTCACCATGTAAAGAGATACGAAAAACCCAATCAAAAGATCTCTTTTCATTTTGTTTGTTTGTCTCTTAGGCTTAGAGTGGGCTGCATGGTGGCACAGATGTTACCACTGTTGCCTCGCAGCACGAAGGTTGCAGGTTCGAAACTCGGCTCGGCTGTGGCCTTTCTGCATGGAGTTGCGTGTTCTCCTCATGCATGCGTGGGTTTCCTCCGGGTACTCCGATTTCCCCCACAGATCACAACATGCCCTATAGGTTATAAATTGTAAGTCGCTTTGGATAAAAGCGTCTGCTAAATAAATAAACATAAACATAGAGTACAGAAAAGTCCTGAAGATGACTTTTTCCCCTTTAGGGCTCATGTTTGGGCTGGAATAAAAAGAACCAGAGAGATAGACTTCAACAGGTGACACAGATGATTTTATTTTTTAGCTGTTTGCTAACTTTTGTACCTCCCTTATAATGCATGCTCCCTCCTTCTTTGGTAACCATAGAGATGGCAGATGGCGGTATCGACTCATGGAAGCAGGCAGGAAATGTGCACTTCAGTATTGACCTTAACTCTGTCCCGTCTTATTTCTCTTGGAAAAACAGCTTCCCAGTAGGGACTCAGAGTGTGTTTCCCAAGGCCTGCTGCTTTGGACGAGCACAACATCTCATTAGCTGGTTTTGAACTTGCACAGAGCAGAGTTGCATCCTGACATCCTGATGTTGTGTTCTCTGCACAACTGTTTTTCCTTCACACAGGCATCAGTAAGGACCTCCATGAGAACGAGACCTTGTCACTGGACAATGTGAGTGTACATTCAAGGTTTTAATAATTATGTGATGCAAAAATTTTGTGGAAAACCCTTTTCAGCATTTGCATGCAACCATCTGTTCACGTGTTGTTTTCAGAGACTTGCCTAATATTTTTTATTTATGTTTAAAGGTTTTTGAGGAGCAGACAGATCTGTTTCTGACAAACAATGATGGGGAAGAGGACATTGCATCCTCATTATCTGGTAATTTTTTTCTTCTCTCTTCTTCTTTTCTCAAAAACAGTAACAGCTTATCTGTACCAAAGTACTTTTTAAATGTTGGAGCACAATACTCGGGCTTCTAATTGAAAAAACGGTTCAAGCTTTAGAAATGAACAGCAATACAAATGGGTTCAAATGAAGGCAACTGGACTTCTTTGGTTTCTTGAAGATGTTGAAGATGTTTCACTTCTCACCCGAGGAGTTTTGAAAAGCGATGAGTTTGAGATGAGAAGCGAAATGTCTTCAAGAAACCGGAGAAGTCCAATTGCCTTCATTTGAACTGTTTTGGATTACCGTGATCTGGATGACTGAGAACGTTCACCAGCAAACACACAGCAGCATATTTGTGGCTGCCGTGAACAGCAGGGTGTGGGAACAGAACGTAACTTGGTGGTTGAGAAGCCCTGATGGGAACCATATCTCAACATGCTCAGCTCTGTTTTCAGTCACATTATTTGAAATCAATAAGGTGACTGTTTCTGAGTCTGAGCAGAAGATCCTCTCCTGTTGGGGGTGCAGGGGCTGCTTTTTGAGGATGAGGTGATCTGGTCTTTACCCACTTTACCCACTTTACCCACTTTGAGCTCACAGTGATTTTTTTCCCTGGAGTTCTGGAATCTGCCTTGTCACTAGGACAAAGACAGGAATGGGGTCAGACTTGTCCCACTCAGAATCCATCTGAGCTGGGCATTGCCCCCCCCCCCCCCCCAAATATCCCCTGTCACCCCCGCCCCCGATTTAACTGGAGTTGGACAGTGGTGCTGTGTACTTGAATTAAAAAGTGGAATGTTAACAAGTAGGGCTGCAACAACGAATCGATAAATTCGATGAAAATCGATTACTAAAAGCGTTGGCAACGAATTGCGTCATCGATTCGTTGTGTCGCACAACTCTTCCAAAAGCGCCCCGCCTTCCCGCCCACCATTGCGCGCAGACCAGAGCAAGTCTGATCAGCGCGAGGGAGAGCCGCAGATCAACGTGAGGGGGAGCCGGCAGATCAGGGCAAGGGAGAGCCGGCAGATCAGCTCGAGGGAGAGCCGCAGATCAGCGTGAGGGAGAGCCGGTACCAGCAGATCAGCGCGAGGGAGAGCCGGCAGACTTGCGCTGCTGCGAACCGGTTCCACATTGTTGCACAGCGATCCAGGCAGCTGCTTCCAGCGCACAGTCCATTCTCAAAGTGGCGCAACCAAAAAACTATAATTAGCACACGATCGTTCATGTCCGCACATGTTCTCTATTTTCTGTCTTATTTGTGCCTGAAGCTCGCTACTGCGGAGCTCATCACCTGTGCTGTGGTGATGTCACCTCACTGACGCAGCATCGAAAACGCGCTCTGCGCTTTTCGGTCAGGAGATCCCTTTGATCTGCTCAAAAGTAACTGATGAGGTGAAAAGGTAAGAATCCAGGCAACAGATTTTCTGGAGAATTAAGAGGAGATGCAGGAAGATGAGAGACAGACAGGACAGGAAAATAGTTAAATAAAAACAAGAAAACAAAACAAAGTGTTGAAAAGTAAAATGTAGGTAGATTTATCTCCACGACACGTTTTTACCTGTAAAAAACAATAAGTTCTACACATGTCATATTTATACATCTGATACAATTCAGATCACCTTCAAAACTCAGTCACACACCCAGGGCCGTTTCAAGACATTTTGGGGGCCAAGGCAAAATGCCCCCCCCCCCCCCCCCCCCCAATAACTGGGCTCCCCAGAAGCCTCTGTGTAATTCATGCCCTCTCCAGTAGTGTTAGTTATACAGTGTTTATAAAAGCCCCTCAGACATTACTGACATGTTCTAATATTATCAGATGAAAAACTAAATTATCAGACATGCTGTCTCATCTGCTTCTTTTAAAAACTTGCAAAAAGTAACAAAACCATTTGAAAGCCACTATTTGTGGATTCTCTGAAAGTTTCCATGGAGTGTGTGACAACTTATTTTTTCATTGATCCTATCGTCTAATCTCACAGCTGAAACAAGCATCCTTAATAATCTGTGCACAGGAAGCTTACCGATGCTGTAGTAAAACAAAAGGTATAATAATTTATTATTAATAAAACCTTGTTGCAGCGCTAAAGCTGAAAAATTAGATTTTGCATTAAATATGCAAAATATTTACATATGAGTTGTTTTAGAGCCCTTTTATTGGCAGAATCTGATATTAATTTAGTTCTTACAAAAAATGGGTCCCAACATGGTTTGTGTGGCGTTGCCATAGTGTGATGTCATAGGCACAGATCACCTGTCCTCTTGTTTGGAAATGGAAATATGGTCACCCAACATTAAACAAACTGTCCACCCGGGCTTTTGCACTGCACAGAGACGCTTCGCTGCCTACGACTGAACGTCAGTTGAGAGTCAGTCTCATGCAGACTGACCAATGAAGAGAGGGCCTCAAGTTGAGACCCCCTCCTCATTGGTCAGTCCACACGAGGTGGGTCAAAGGTTACTCTGGGCGGGTTACGTGTTGTCAGGCATTCAAGTATTGAGTATATTTACTGCATATTACAGTAAAATATTCTGTATGTGACCACATTATGGTGATCCTTGGGTCGTGATGATGGAGCCCTTGAATATTGTTGCCCAGGGTACAACAAAGTGTTAATCTGGCCCTGGTTCCGCCGTCACATTCCCGCAGAAACTGGTTGATCACACCGGGGCCAGACTACTAGCATGTGGCTTTACAGCCACAATGTCCTCAGAAGCAAAAACGCTTTTCAAAGGGAGGGAGGAGTCCTAACTGTTGCTGCAGGTGTGTTGTGTGAGAGTGCAGTTATATACTGGTTAATATATTTTTGGGTTCAGTTGCTTTCATGTGGCCTAATGTGAGTCTATTTGGGATCATTGGAATGATCAGCAGCATTTCTTGATGTGACTTTATGGCAGTTGCCCAGGGCATCATCGCAAGGAGGATGGCATTCATTTACTTTTGTTTTATTTGGTATTTTTTCAGTCATTTTTGGAAATAGTGATCAATTTTGATTAATTCACAGCCTATGTTTAATTACATTTAAAATAAATGTCAACAGATGAGATCAAACAAAACAGATGAGAATTGCCCTTAAGCTGTTTAACTTGGACCAAGCATTTTAGGTCACAGATAGATGTAGCTTAGGGTCTCTGTCTATACACCTTATAAGACAATTTAGGTGATGGCATGTTGTTTTTCTGCTATTGAACTGTTTTCTAATAATGTTGTGTTAAATAAAGTGAAGGAAGGAGAGAAATAACATTTCCCTAGCAGTTTTTAAAAATGTCCCCATGTAATCCGATTAATCGTGTCGAGACCCCATCTGATTAATCGATTATCCAAATAATCGTTTGTTGCAGCCCTATTAACAAGTGAAAAGTCCCCATGCCTACAAAACATGACGTTTCAGACAAGACACAAATGTTAGGCAGGAGTTTAGCAAGCCTTTAGTGGCTGTTGAAAACTTGAATATGATGCGTTTCAGATGTGGCCACGGTTACTATGAATGCTAATTTCTTTCTTGGAGGACTGAAGAGCTCTTTGTTAACATCAGATTGAAGTGTTTTGGAGTGTGTGAGACTTTGAAAGTTTACTTTCAGTTTTTTTTAGCTGGATGCTACTTTTTATTGCATCAACTCGAGACCCATGTAGCAGAAAGTCGTTTTTAACATTGAAGATTATCAATAGAATTTCTGTTACATTTAGCAAATGGTGTCCCACAGGGTTGTGTACAGGGCCCAGTTCTGTTTGGTACACACGCTAAGGATCTTCCTTCTGTATGTAAACATAGATTATTTTGTGTATGCAGAATATACTTATTTTTACTGATAGTATTACCAAAGAGGAGGTTAGAAGCCATTTGTTATAAAAATGTCCTGCTGGCTGAAAAGATGTTATGAAGACAGTTGCTATGTTTTTCCCCAAGAGACATGCTGCAGACCCAGACTCAGACATGTTCATCTCGGGATAGAATGTAAATATTAAGATTTCTATCTAGATTCAGATCTTAGTTGGCAGACTCAAATCAAAAGGATTTTTCTAAGGTAAAGCATGCTTATACGAACTTAAGATGCATTAGAGGATTCATTTTTAGGTCAGAGCGGTTGTGACATTGAGCCATCTTCAACTGAAGCAGTTGACCAAAATTAAGCCCATTCTGTGAAAAGATGATTTTAGAACAATAATCCATGCTTTTATTACCATTCAGGTGGATTACTGTAACTGGTTGTACAGTACCTTGGTGTTAAGCCTAGTTTATACTTCTACATCAGTGGGGGTGCGAAACATGCAATGCCATCATTCGTTAACGTGAACACTCTGCGGCAGGCTTGTGTGGGATGACTGAGACATGTCAGATTTTTTAAAGTGTATCTTTGATGCTCTTTAAATGGTAGAAAAACATCTATGGTCAAAAAGTATTTGTATCAGATACTAGCAGGTGTTTAAAAGTACTAAATCAAGGGAAGTGGGCAGGCCTCCCTAAAAAATGCATGAATTTAGAATCACCAGACTCTTTACGTACCTCAAGGAAAAGTTAGAAGAGGACACTTAACTCAGGATAGTTTTAGTTGTAACCGATTCAACTAGTATAACAATGGTTAATGTTTGTGTATGTTGGGGTTGTACAAACTCCTGTTTGTCTGGCCATCGTGTTCATCAATTTCCACAACAGAAGATGAATATGAGAAGCATAGAGATCAGATCATATAAACGTAGAGGTGACATAGACTGGAGCTTTCTATTGGTGCTGGTGTAACTGTGGGCTGCCATGTTGGATGGGTCACCAGTAGCCCCTGGGGCATTCATTGGGCTAGAAAAGATGGGAGTAATCCCCCACAATCTGTTTTCAATAGTACAATAGACAAAAACAGGCAGCGTTTATTCCGATTAGGTTTTGGAGTTAGGGACCCATCCAATATGGCGGCAAAGTGGTTACACTCCAGCGCTCAATGTCGCTTCTACGTATTTGATTTTCGTTTAATCTTGTTCCCACTTCTTGTGGCAACTAGGTGTTTATTTAATAAAAATAGTAAATTTGTACAGATTTCAAAAGTAAACTTTCTTCCTCTAAAGTTGACCCGCTTTTAACTGTGAATGTGGGACTTTTGTCTTTTGAGCGTAATGAGAAAGTAGTAAAGCAGCTCTCACGTGATTGTTTTAGACCAATGACGTGCTCGCGTTTAGTAAACAGAAACCCAACATAGCGGGGTACTCGGAAGTCGGGAAGCCGCAGCGATTATCATTTAACTACCTTAGAAACTCAAATTAGAGAACACAAATAATTTTTATGGAAACATGTTTGATGTAATATGTCAGGGGACATATACTGTGAAATCTTACAGTTAGATCCAGTATTGGGCAGCATAACATCTCTTTTCCATTTTCTCCTGGAACTGAACTTCATAGAACTATATTTGTTGACTGCTATTGGCAGATCAGCTACTTCCGTTTTGACTGGTCAGCACGCCACTGCCTTTAAATTTGCTGTAACCCAGGAAAGCACTATGCCCCCGTTATCGTGGAGTGGAATTGCTTAGCAAGTCTCATCAGAAAGAAAAACATCTCTGTTGATTTGCGTGTCTCCACAACCCTACTGACGGAGAAGTATAAACTAGGCTTTAGGAAGTCATACTTGTCACATCTTCAGCTGGCACAAAAATGATGGAGAAAAAAAGTCTTGTTTTTAAAGCCCTAAATGGTCTGGCCCTATAGTCTGGTGATCAAAGTCTAGTTGTTGTGGAGAACACCATGCTATAGACATGAAGGGACAGATCTTTTCATCATCATCATGCTTTATTTGTACAGCGCCTTCAGTGACCAAACAGCACCCAGAGAGCTGAACAATAACAAGAACCAATAAAAAGGCCCATTAATGGTAAATTAACTGTAGTTGTATAGCGCCTTCTGAGGGTTCTACAACCCCTCAAGGCACTTCGCACCACACACACACACACACACACACACACACACACACACACACACACACACACACACACACACACACACACACACACACACACACACACACACACACAAGGATGATGAGCTACAATGTCCACCGGCCCCTCGGACCACCACCAGCGGGCAAGGGAGGTTAAGTTTCTTGCCCAGAGACACAGCAGCAGCATGCTCTGTCAGGAGCTGGGATTAAACCTACAACCTTCCTGTTACTGGACAACCCGCTCAACCTCCTGAGCCACTGCTGTCCTAAAGCAAGTTCCCCAAAAGCAATGGTATAGTAGTGACTCTTTAGCCGGCTCTTAAAAGTTGGCAATGTGGATTGATGCTGTTGCCCCCCCCCCCCCCCCCCCCCCCCCCCAAAAAAGCAGCTCAAAACTCTTTTCCCTCTTTTCTGTTGATGTTGACTTTATTTAGAAAGTCACCATTTGGTTGAACCTTTATTTAGATGCCCACGCCAGTTTAAACAATATCCCACAGATAGTCATTATTCTACCATTTATTAAAAACCAGTGAAAAGCAGCTTCCTACTGAGGCCCTCACAAGGCCAAACCGTTCTCTCTACAGATGAGATTAAACCTTCAGCTAAGTCATTGACATTATTTTACATGATTTACCATAGTCTCTCTTTTAAATAAATACATAAGCTGAAAACACTTGAGTACATAAACAGCCAGATTGTAAAACTGTAAAGAACATGAACAGATATCAGAAGTCTGCTCTTTGTATCTGTGCTGTAGTGTCTTCACTGTGTGTGAGCAGCGGCAGAGAGGAAATGCCTCTGAAATGCCCAGGATTTCCCTTACATTAGAGCAGACATGGCTGGCCCAGACATCAAAGTCTGGGTGGAAAGTGCTCTCATCAAGGGAGGTCATTTTCCATGTTGTCATGGCAGAATAACCATCCTCTGCTCCTCTAGATATGCAGCAAGGGTGCATTTATATATACAGAACAATACACTTTAGCGTTTAAATAAGCTATCAAACTTGATTCACCATTTAAAATCTAAATTATTCTAATCTTTCATACATCAAAAACTCAAAAGCATCATCCTCATGAGCTTTATTGTGAAGAAGCCACTCGGTTAAATGCAGCACAGTTCCATTATTGTTTCAGCTTTTCCTCTTAAATTATTTACTACGTGAACTTTGACTTATTGTTAAAAATCGCAGTGTGCCAGATGGCTGTTGTTGTCCAGCGTGAGTCACAAGAAGAAGTCAGTTCTCCCACTGGAGTGCAGGAAGTCTATTTTTACCAGTTTTCTGGAAAGGGTTGCTACACGGAATATCAGAGTGAAAGTACTTTTGGCTTTTGGTTCAGCTGTGTTTTTCTGTGGAGGGTTAAGTTTGTACCACCACTAACTGCTAGTTGTGACATCCTGCCTTGATGGCCTGAGGTATAAGATTAGGAGCGTCGTGACTGATCCTGAATTTCATAACTTTTTTAAACTCTTATCAGAACGTAACTGGATATTTGTACTTGAGAAAATATTTGTGTTCAAAAAGAATCTAAGAATTTATACGACGGGCGACGGTGGCAGAGGAGTTAAGTACCCGCATCGTAACTGGAGGGTTACAGGTTTGCATCCCGCTCTGCCCGTTGCAGTTGATGTGTCCTTGGGCAAGACACTTCTCCCTCCTTGCCTGCTGGTGGTGCCAGTGTACATCAGCCACGCCCTCGTGTCGCAGCTGTGGTTACAATGCACCTCATCGCCACGAGTGTGTGCATGTGTGTGTGTGTGGGTGAATGGCTGGTTGTGTTGTAAAGTGTCTTGGGGGGGGGGGGGTTGTAGAACTCTGAAAAGGTGCTATGTAACATGTTACCATACTTTCCCCATCATAAGTATTAGGAATTGGGTTGTTCAATATTGGCTATTTATTTATTTATTTAGTTATTTTTTGCAGATATACCGATATAATCAGACTTTAAATTTCCCATACATTGGGAATTCCCTCATAAAAATAGAAAAAGTAAATAATTCTAGGTCATTTTCGGTTATCACGCTTAATTAAAGGTCAACTTCACTGAAAAAACATATTTTAATGATTATTTCTGATTATAATCAGTCACTCTTGAGTTTTTCATGCAAGCTAAACATGAAAATAGTCTCCTACAACTATCTCCTGCATTATCTTCTGAGTGAAAATAGACGGTGAAACTCTAGGATTAGAAAAGCCTGACAGATCTACGTCACTCTGTCACTTAGCATGCATGGACTCACTCAGCTTGGCTCACGATGGGGAAGGCTGTCGTTGGTTTAGCGTCCAGGAAACAGACTTTGGTGTAGCCTGTCACGGCGAGAGCAGGAGGTTAGGACCCAAGATGCAGAATCCCCAGAACGACTCAAGGCAGGAGAGATTTGAGAGAATAGTTCCTTTATTTCAAAAGGCGGATGCGCCAAAGTCCAGAGGCACAAAAACAAACCCGACTTAATAACAAACTCGCTGAACCAACAAACAAACAGACAGAAGCTCACTCATGAGCACGAACTAGGGTAACTAGAGGAGGACAGAACACGCTGACAATTACAATGAACCAGCAACCACAGAGGGAGGTAATCAGGGAAACAGGTGACAGGTGTGAGGAAGAAGAAGAAGAAAGTATCATTTCTATAGCGCCTCTCAAGATAAAAATCACAAGGCGCTTCACAAAAACAAAAAATGTAAAAATATAAAAAAGCATTTAGAAAATGTTTAAAAATATAAATGAGCAAAAAGAGACAATTGTGATAAAAAATGTTAAGAAAGAGAGAGAGAATAGGAAAAAGGGAAATCAGTGGTTCCTGAGGAAGGTGGAATAGGTGGGGAGAGCAGAATAAAGAGAGAGAGAGTGTGAGCTGAGGAGAAACTGGTGAAATCAATTAACTAAATGGGAAGGGAAAGAGCTTGGCAGGAGGGCAGATAAACGTTAACCTATAAAACATGGATCTAACTAAACCTAAAAGACAGAGGGCAAATATAAACCACCAATAACCAGATGGGTGAGGAGGACTAATCTAAAGACAACTAGGAAAACCAGGGATTGACTAGTATAGGAGGACACAAGAGGAGAGCCTGGAGTGGGAACCGGAGGGGGCTGGGGAACAAAGGGACACAGAACGTGACATAGCCTTATACAGAATTAAATAGTTCAGTTCAGTGCAATAGTTCTTGTTATTTTATATGAAAAATCTTGTTCAGTTTCACAACTAAAATGGCCAACGCTTGTATTTTGATTGTCTAAACTAAAGATTCATTATACACTATAAAACATTGTTAATATGTCATTTTTTAAACTCATCTTTATTATTTTAGCCTAAAAATAATTTTATCAGCATAAAATTTCATTTTCAAGGAAGTTGGCTTTGAGAAAATCAATAACATGAACAGAATCTTCATGCTACATTATCATCGTGTTTACAAGACCTATAAATCGTAGGATTTTCCTTCTTTAATGCCATGCGTGTCTTTAATATGTCAAATGACAGCTGCATGTAAACAGGGCAGATAAAGTAAAACAAAAAGGGAATCAATAATCCACCTTTTTCTTTTTACGTAAACAGGCAGCATACTGGTGAGGGTGATTGGTGGAGGTTTGTATGAAACAGTCCTTTAAAGGTCAGACAGGAGTAGGTATGCAGCAGCTCATCACTTTTTCCTTTCTTCTCTCTAAAGCCTTGACATTTGAGCAAAGAAAGATTTAAACAAAATCCAGAATAACCGGAAACAGCAGGAGAGGAGCACATGTGACTAAGGAGTCTCAACATGTTTGATTATCAGGTCTTCGGAGTTTGGCATGCTGCTGTAAAGTCCTCAGAAGGTTTCTCCACAGAAATCTTTGTTCTGAATGTTTTCAACTCACTGATTTTGAACAAACCCTGACAAAACCGACAGATGCCGACAGCTGAAGTAAAGATACAGCAGACGTGAAATACTGTAAATTAGCTGATGGTGACTGGGGAAACGAACGAGCAGTGATATGGAGGAGTTCTGATGAGTGGAACGTTTATTTTTTCCAGTGAACGGACTTCCCACACAGACCAGTGAAGATCAGGAGTTCAACCAGCAGGAAACCAATGATTTGATCTCCATGATCAACAGCGGCGACCAGCAAACACAGGTCAATAACACACGGCCACCTTCTGTAAACCTAAAACTGTTACTTCTCAAAAACTTTCTATTGCTCGTCTTTAACTTCCTGTCCTCGACTGCAGGCTGGTGATGTTGACTTTAGGTACAGAGTCTGTGGGGTGACGAGGGACAGCACGGAGACCGATGACAATTTATGGGACACAGATGATCTTCTTGCAACGGACACCCCCCCACCCCATTCAGAAGACCTGCACCCTCCCTCCTGCCCTCTCTCACCAGTGGATCAGGCCCTCACAAGGCTAAACCGTTCTGTCTCCACCCAGCAGACCAACCACAGAGACAGCCCAACTAGGGAAACCTGCGACCGCAGGTAGGAAATTTTGAAGGTTTTTGTCTAACAAGCTCCATGTGCAAAGTTTACAACTGATCTTTTTCTTCTATTGTCCCAGTCTGGTGGCTCTGGAACTGGACAGCGAGGAGGAGACCATGGAACCAAAGTCCTCTCTTTCCCCTCTCTTGTCAGATGTTGGGAAAAGTGAAGAGAAAAGGGATGCTTTTCATCCAGCTCCTAACCTCCCCTGCACTCGCAGCCAGTCTGCTTCCACATGTGAACCCACCTCAAAAGTAAAATAACATTTTAATCAGTCAGCACGCCACAGTATCAGATCTCATGCTTTTACTTTGAAAGTATCTATACAGTTCATGCACCCTCATTGTGGGGATGGAGATCAGATTCATTTAAGCGTTTAACCCTCTGGAGGCAGGCGTTGCAGATGTGCAACGTTAAATCCTACCTACCTGTTTACTCCACATACGTACTTCATGAGCATTTTTTAACTCAGAAGTACCCCTGAAGGACTTAGTTGTTCGTCCTTTTATCAAAACTTATTTTGAGCCTGAGAGGGTTAATTATTCATCTGAACAGTTGATTTCTAGGATAGAACTCTTACATTTGATTCAGTGACACCAAGCAGGTTGGACTTCAACCACATCTTTTTGTTGCCATCACCAAGCCTCTGGTAAAATTCTGGCTAATGTGTCACCCTTCTTCTTGTCTGGTTGATTTCCTGGGGAGTTGGGAAGGCCATTCCAGAGTTTTACCATTAGCCGGATGAATCCAGTCAGAAACCAGCTCTGATGTATAGCACTACCACCACCATGCTTAACAGTTGGTTCAGCGTTCTTCAGAACTGAAAGCCTCGCCCCAAATAACTCAAACTTTCTCTGTTAGACATTTAGCTGGTCTGTGTGGGCAGCTGCAGATATCAGCTTCAAATTTCAACCTGAAGGTTGGACTCTTGGAGTATGGGGAGAAAAAGTCTAAAAAGATTTCTGTGTGTGTATCTAAATTTGTGTGTGTGTATAGCATCGACATATAAATATATGGACAATGGGTTTCCATAGACTCCAATAATAAGTTTTTGAGCTAAAATGGGAGGTGGCCACCACCGCCATTTTGACCGTGTCACAGGTTCCGTCAAGCCCAGACAATTCCACAAAAGGGAAGAGAGGTGGAGCTGAGGGTGGGGCTGTAAGGCTGGGATCAACTGACGATACCCGGTCGAACTAGCTACAAGCTAACCTGAATTTATCCCAAAGCTAACGCGGAGGTGGGAGCTAAGCTAACGGAGGTAGCAACCTAGCTACAACCGGAGTTAACTGTGCACAACACCAGAGCTTCTGAGTCAGAGATACGCTGGGCTGACCGCTGGGTAAAACCGGGTGGAACACAGAGGTCTCCCGAGACCTCCACAAGCCGGCAGCTGCACAGCAGACAAGCGCCGCTGCGATCTGAGATGCGCAGAGCTGCCGCCGGGGAGAACCGGGTGGAAAGGTTTCCATCCCAGAGCTCCACAAGTCATCAGCCCGCGCAGCAGACAGAAGCCATGATCAGACAGAGATGCGCCGAGCTTCCGGGAGGGGAGAAGAGCTCCACAAGCTGATAGTCGGAACCCAGCTCCACCAACATGTTATATTTGAACCCATTTTCTAAAGTGCAGCATTATGTTAAATGCACTGGGGTTTACCCTATTACATTTAAATTTAATGGTTAAACAGTACATGTTAAAATCTAAGCTCAGCTCGGCAGTGACCTAAAATACATAAATATAATTTTACTTACCGAAAAAAATGAAGTGGAGACTCCTTGGACGCTCTATTAGTGCAATTAATGCCACAGCAAGTCATTTTGCACAAAAAATATCCAAAAAAGAATACACAAACACAGAGACTCACAATCCCGGAACAGTTTCCAGGCCAGACCGAGGCTCTACTGAGGCCTTTCCACGGAGCTAGCTCTGTGGTCACGTGGGTCTGATGGTCATTAATTATACAGAATTTTAGGCTTTTAATACACTTAAACAGAAGAGTGAGAAAAAAATTCACCCCCCTCAGAGTTATGAGTGTAAACTAGATCATTTAAACAAAAAACATGTTCTGGTACCAGGCTGTAAACATGTTTATTTCTGCTGTGAAATTGGTATTTTTAACATGGGAGTCAATGAGGATTTGCTCGCTTCTGACACCAGCCCCCAGTGGATGAGGGTGGAACTGCAATTTTTGGTACTTCCGGGATTGCTCCAATTTTTGAGCCGCATTGTGGGGGCTTGGTGTATAGATAGATATAAGCATTTGTAAGTCTTTGATTTGTAACTTGTGTTTACGTTTTCGTGTGTAACTTCAGCTCCTACACACACAAATCATTAAAAACACACACACACAAATCACCTGGTACACACAGATCAGTTTACAAGTACAAAAATCCTGTTGAGACTCTTTTCTCACTTGACTGATTTGTGCATACATGGTGCATTTGAATGCTGGGTGGAAGCTGGGAAATCTGAACTTCCATAGGATTTAGTCTATACACACACACACACACACACACACACACACACACACACACACACACACACACACACACACACACACACACACACACACACACACACAGATCTTTTGAGACTTCTTTCTCCCCATATTGGAGCAGGAGCTTCTCTTGGTCCATGTTAATGTAAAACTGTCTTCACTGTGGACAGAGACACTGATGTCCTAGAAATGTTATGTTTGTTATAGGCTTGGTGGGTTCAGAGCATCCAAACCAGTGTGCTGTCTGAGGATGACTGAGAAGTATTGGTCAATTCCAAGAATGCTGTTGTGAAATATTTAAGCATGTGCTTGTGTGTAATTTGACCCCTCTGTGGTTCAACACAATTCCAAAGAATTTTATTGTATAATTACAGGTGCTGGCCAGTAAATTAGAATATCATCAAAAGGTTGAAAATATTTCAGTAATTCCATTCAAAACGTGAAACTTGTACATTATATTCATGCAATGCACACAGACCAATGTATTTCCGATGTTTATTACGTTTAATTTTGATATTTATAGGTGACAACCAATGAAAACATCAAATCTGGTATCTCAGAAAATTAGAATATTCTAAAGGCCAATGAAAAAATGTTTGTTTCTCTAATGTTGGCCAACTGAAAAGAATGAACATGAAAAGAATGTGCATGTATAGCACTCAATACTTAGTCGGGGCTCCTTTTGCCTCAATAACTGCAGTAATGCGGCGTGGCATGGACTCGATCAGTCTGTGGCACTGCTCAGGTGTTATGAGAGCCCAGGTTGCTCTGATAGTCGTCTTCAGCTCCTCTGCATTGTTGGGTCTAGCGTATTGCATCCTCCGCTTCACAATACCCCATAGATTTTCTATGGGGTTAAGGTCAGGCGAGTTTGCTGGCCAATCAAGGACAGGGATACCATGGTCCTTGAACCAGGTGCTGGTGGTTTTGGCACTGTGTGCAGGTGCCAAGTCCTGTTGAAAGGTGAAGTCTGCATCCCCATAAAGTTGGTCAGCAGCAGGAAGCATGAAGTGCTCTAAAACTTCCTGGTAGACGGCTGCATTGACCCTGGACCTCAGGAAACAGAGTGGGCCAACACCGGCAGATGACATGGCACCCCACACCATCACTGACGGTGGAAACTTTACACTGGACGTCATGCAACGTGGATTCTGTGCTTCTCCGCTCTTCCTCCAGACTCTGGGTCCTTGATTTCCAAAGGAAATGCAGAACTTGCTTTCATCAGAAAACATAACTTTGGACCACTCAGCATCAGTCCAGTCCTTTTTGTCCTTGGCCCAGGCGAGACGCTTCTTGCGCTGTTTCTTGTTCAAGAGTGGCTTGACACACGGAATGCGACACCTGAATCCCATGTCTTTCATGAGTCTCCTCGTGGTGGTTCTTGAAGCGCTGACTCCAGCTGCAGTCCACTCTTTGTGGATCTCCCCCACATTTTTGAATGGGTTTGTCGTCACAATTCTCTGCAGGGTGCGGTTATCCCTAGAGCTTGTACACTTTTTTCTACCACATTTTTTCCGTCCCTTCGCCTGTCTGTTAATGTGCTTGGACACAGAGCTCTGCGAACAGCCAGCTTCTTTAGCAATCACCTTTTGTGTCTTGCCCTCCTTGTGCAAGGTGTCAATGATTGTCTTTTGGACAGCTGTTAAGTCAGAAGTCTTCCCCATGATTGTGGTGCCTTCAAAACAAGACTGAGGGACCTTTTAAAGGCCTTTGCAGGTGTTTTGAGTAAATCAGCTGATTAGAGTGGCAGCAGGTGTCTTCTATATTCAGCCTTTTCAGAATATTCTAATTTTTTGAGATACCAAATTTGGAGTTTTCATTAGTTGTCACTTATGAATATCAAATTTAAATGTAATGAACATTGGAAATACATTGGTCTGTGTGCATTGCATGAATATAATGCACAAGTTTCACGTTTTGAATGGAATTACTGAAATATTTTCAACCTTTTGATGATATTCTAATTTACTGGCCAGCACCTGTATTCCACCCCGGAAAAAGAAAAGTTCAAATGAATCATGAAAAGGCCCAAATGAACGACTCATCCCTGTTTTACATGATTGCTAACTTCTGACCAGCTGTATGTTTTTTATCATGTAGGACACGAGGGAAGAGGGGGTTCGATTGCGCTCCTATTCCTACTCATCTCCAAAAATCAGCTTCCTCCCTACTCGTCATCACCGTGACAACCACACATCAGAACTCAGTCACGGTTAGTCAAACCTCCAAATTCAATAAACCTTCACTCTTAACACATCACTAACAATAGTCCTACTTTAGTTCACTCCATTTTTCCCACATTAATGGATTAACCTCAAATAGTCTGCTAATTTTACACTAGTCTTTAGCTGCATGTAAAGGCCAGTCATTTTCAAATATCCACTAAAGCCACAAAGCACATTTCAGGCTGCTTGGCATCTTTCAAGCAGCAGCTCACAAATTATATGAAGACTTGGCCTAAGCGGATTATTCCTGGAGTCTTAGTGTATTAGCCAAAAATATTCTGGCGCTTTCCTTTTTGAGCTGTTTTGTGTCAATGAAGCAAATAAGACTTTGAAGGAAAGTAAGCCAACAGTTTGTGTGCATATGCTGTGTGACTCTAGCTTATTTTTGTTTTGATTTAACAGAGATGAAAAGTATCAACTAAGACACTAAATCTGTACATTTAGTGAAAGATTTTCACCTCCAGGTTCTTTCTCCTCTAAAAAACAAAAACAGAACAGTGTGAAAAAGGCAGATTACTGTCTGCTTAATAGCTCTGAACATGGACTTGACTGTCTGTGCTGATAGTTTGCACCCGCTGTAGTTGATGAGCAGCTCCTCTGTCCACTGTGCCCTGTAGATGCCGTCGTCCACAGTGTGAGCCACAGCCGATCTCTCCTTCAGGCGCTCTCTCTGTCTAAATCCACCCTGTCTCTCTCTCTGCTCCACCCTGGTAGTAAGTACTGGACACTGCAGTCACCGCACCGCACCTAGCTGTCACCTGTGTGTGTGTGTGTGTGTGTGTGTGTGTGTGTGTGTGTGTGTGTGTGTGTGTGTGTGTCTGTGATTACAAATCAAAACAGTTCTTTATTCCTTCATTTTCACCTCTCTGTTCACTCACCTATTTATCAGCTTGATTTCTGGGCACAGGCAGCCAGCTGGTGGAAAATAATCAAGGATTTCAAATCAAACTGATTATTACAGGATGCAAACGTTTGGGCAGCCTTGTTAATCTTCATGATTTTCCTTTATAAATCGTTGGTTGTTATGAAAACAAAAATTCAATACAAATAACTGTGAAAATATGCATATTTAACACATGGACGTAATTTTCACTTTAGAAGTGGGGGGGACACGGGGTGGGGTGTGTGTGGGGAGGGGGGGGGGTATCTTTACAGTATGCTCTAATGGGAAACAGGCTTCAACACAAACGGTTGTTTTCCTCTTGGTCCTGTAGCTCAACCAGTGTCAATTTAATATAAAGTAATATTGTTTTTAGATGGTAAAAAGTGCAGGGGTCATAACTTGACTTTGGAAAAAGTGGGGGGGACATGTTCCCCCCCCCCCCCCCCCCCCCCCCCCAAATTACGTCCATGATTTAACATTTTGAAGTTAGAGTTGGTGTTTTCGTGCTGTGAATGACAGATGTGCAGTAGTGTAAAAAGAATTTACGGTAGTTAAAAATGGTTAAGACACTCTAAGGCCATTTTCAAGTTATAAATGAAGCCTTATCCTTTATAGAGAACATTTAGAAGGGCCTCAGTTCAGAAAAACAACTTTTAGATCTTTTAGGATTGATGAGCTAACAGCTGGTTTGAGTGCAGCGAAGACCAAATGTTCCAGTTTCACGTCCCAAAGTATTTACCGCAGAAATATGGATAATTTCCTGCTCAACGTGACCTCTGAGTACACCAGAAGCGGTGATATTTATGCTTGTTAATACCCCCAGAATTAAGAATTCCAAATAAATAACGATAACTTTTAACAACAAGAGAGGAATAAAGGTTAATGACATAACATGTTGAGATTGTTTGAAGATGACATCAAGTTTCTTTGATCTTGACTGAGTTTGTTACTGGCAGTTAGCTCATCAGTCCTATCACCTTGTGTCTTATTTTTGTGATTCCCTTAATAACCTCTTCATGTTGTTTCTGTCCTCAGAACAAAGAGCCTCCAGTGTTTCAGAACATTCTGAGAAAAGGTATTTATGCTTATTTTTTCCAGATGCATTTGTGCTGTTTTTGTTCTAAATTAAAATCACGGTTTCATGAGGAAGTTTTGACTTTTATTGAACAATAATCCTGCTTCCTTGTTGTGTTTTTCTTGTGCAAGACTGTTAATGTGTCTTTTGTGGCTTATGATGCTTTTTATCCTGATGAATATTGTGGCGGTCAAACTTTGTAGCGTGACCAAGCCCTTCTCCCCACTTGTGTGGTTACGGAAGCAACGCCTCTTGTTTGCGAACGTACACCTCTAGCTGGCCTGCAGAGGTAAAATATCAATGATTAGCCTAAGCAGCCCTAGCCTAGGCAGAGAGGCCCAGACTTCCCTCTCCCCAGCCACTTGGGCCAGCTCCTCCGGTGGAATCCCAAAGTGTTCCCTGGCCAGCCAAGAAACATAGTCCCTCCAGCATGACCTGGGCTTCCCTTGATTCTCCTCCACGTTGGACGTGCTCGGAAAACCTCACCATCTTAATCAGATGCCTGACTCCTACTTAACTGGCTGCTCTCGAGCTGCTTCACACTCAGCTGCAAACCTCTCCAGCGAAAGTTGGAGACCACGTTCTGATGAACCCAACAGAACCACATCATCTACAAAAAGCAGAGACCTAATCCTTAGGCCACTAAAACTGATCTCCGCAACACCTTGGCAGCCTTGGTGGAGTCCAACTCTCACCGGGGATGAGCCCGACTTATGGCAATGCAGAAAAGCTCTGGCATTGGTCACACAGGGACATAACAGCCTGTATCAGGTGGCCTGGTACCCCGTACTCCTGAAGTATCCCCCACAAGGCCCCCCACAAAGGGCGAGGTTGAATGCTTTCTCCACAAATTCACAAAACACATGTAGATGAGTTAGGCCAGCTCCCACACACCCTCCAGGACCCCCATAAGGGTATAGAGCTGTTCCAGCACTCCACGGCCAGAACCCCTGAATTTACCAGGGATATATGTGACATTGTTTGTAAGCAGATGTCCAACACCATTGGCTAATTCAATTCAAACTGCACGTGGCTCGAAGGGAACGATGGTTGGGCTTAGCACAAAAAGACAAATGTGCCTACGTTATATTACAGCACAGGGTAAGACGATCCCTTTTATGGATTTCTAAAACATCGTTCATTTCCTGAAAGGGGAATCTCCAATCTGAATCTGAATCTCCAAATTGCTGCTGTAATCTGTGGTATAATTTCAATCAAGAAACAAGGATATTGTTGTTGGTATTGACAGCCTTTGATTAAATGTGCGAAAAGCTGTTTTAAACGAATCAGTGCAAATGTTTATTTTTTATTCATCAATAAATCTGTGGGCAACTGGTTTGATGCAAATCTAAAGTTTTTATTTATTTATTTTTGTTAAAAATGGTTTTATTTCCAGATGAGAAACACCAGTTTGCAAAAGATGCGTGCTTTTAAAATCACAAGAGATTTTCATGAAATAATGTACAACTCATATTGTTGCCATTGCCTTTCACGGCAGTTTTTACATCGTCTCCTGTTGAGAGATATTTAAAGTTAAAATATGCAGTTATTTGATCAAATGTTGAAAATGGCCTCATGCATAATTTAACTCATAATCAGCACAGAGTGTTGTGATGAACCCGTTTTTCACCATTTTAATATAATAACCACAAACTGTCTGAGTTTGAACCATTTTTATGTCCGCTAAGGCTGTGGTTTTCCCCCAAAGGATCGTCAGTTGTAGGAATTCAAGCTGACTTTTTGAGTTTCATTAAATTCCATTCCAAAAATAGAGCTGAACACACACAAAACTGCAAATTTCCTGTTCCAATTCAGCGTGCCCCTTTAAATGTTTTACTTCAGCTGTTATCCTTTGATAATAAAGACCTAAATATCAACTTCAAGGAAAACCAACTTTTAGATGAATTGTGAAAAAGAGCGGGCCTATGCAGCAAGTGTTTGGTTGTGTGTTATCTAAACAGGCAAACATCCATTTACCCTGACACGCTAATAAGGAACATGGTTTTGATTGTTCATCCATAAACCTTTAGCATGTCCCTGCATTAACTGTGTTTTACAGGGAGGCTAGGTTCCGTAAACGGGCCCAGTCTGCCGATGATGAGGGCAGCGCGGAGCTGGCTGAGTCCCTCCAGCATCTCACCTTGTCTGAGTTTCTCAAAGAGTATGTGGGGTTTTCGCCAAACTTAAAGAGCAAGTCACCCCCTACAAGAAACTTACTTCACTCCCTCTTCATGTTTAAAAAATGCAACAAATGATGTTGCCTAGCAGACCGAGAGGGCAGAGCCACTAACAAATACACACACACACACAGGCGCACAATGACATTGTGACATCATAATGTACCAGTTTACATCATAGCATACCTCTTAGCCAATAGCGGTGGCAGATTTAAATTCAAATGCAGTGCAGAGTTTTTACCTGACAACGGCACAACACTGCCAGTTTTAGGCAGAAAATTTTAATTTTAACTAAAATGTACTAAAGTGCAAAACTATTGACTACACGTGTCTGCAGCACGATTAGACAAGCATCTATGTAGTTTATCAGGAAAAAAAAGCTGATTTGGGGGTGACTTGCTCTTTAATGAAACTAACCCTCACAGAAAAGTGACAACAAACCACTTTTCTGTGAGCGGTACAACCTGAAATGTCCACGAGTCTGCCTGCATGATTCTAGTTATTAACGCTTTCGTTTGGACTAATTTGCTTTCACAGCACAGCGCTGCAGAGCAGAAAACTGTCTTGTTCTACTTTTTCATCTACTAACTGTGTTTTTTTTTCTTTTTTGATTTAAAGTAGCCTCACCCGAAACACCGAGTCCTATGCCACCTTAGATTTTAAATAAACGACTGCAGCTTGAACTAACTTTAATCTTTGCCACTGAAAAGCTAAATGCATTTATGCGGCACTCCACTGCACTCTTCTAAACCTGTTATGCTCGGTCTCGTCGTCTCAGCAGGTGAAGACGAAAACCTTTTGTGCTTGTTAACCTGGAAGTGTCCCATTGAAGACCACAGCAACAAATGGTTGCTGATTGTTTTATGTTTTTTATGCAGGATTGAAGAGGAAGAGTTGGAAAAGTGTAACATTCCAATCAAAGCAGAGTCGGAGAAATACAAAGTCATCCGGACTTTAAGTTTCCTCAAGAGCAAGATGTCGAGCACACGCAACAAGAGCAAGGTAACAAGTCTAAATTCAAATGATGCTTGTTGCTTTGCAACTTTACAAGCCAAGTTAGATGAAGGTGTGTTTTTCTGTAGAAGGATTTATGTTATTATTGGATGTTACAACTCTTTAGAGGGTTAGGGAGACACAACCAGGAAACCATTCTAGGAATAACTCAAGGTCGGAGCAACAGACCAAACAAGGTGTCTGGCCTCTTTCCTTTTAATGATTAACCCTCATTGTTGAGTCAGCGCAGAGGCTGGAAACCCTCCCCGACTTGCATCTGTTGTTTATGCGATGGTTCCATTTCCGTGTCGTTGGGCTTGCCTTACAGTTAGGAAAAGGGCGCGGATTGCATCCCTGCTCACGAGGATTTAGCTCTGAAAGCAGAAACTTTTACTGACATTTTATTACAAACGTGAAGTCTTGCATCGAGTGGAGCTCAAACGTAGAGCTGCCGGTCTCCTGTTGTCTTGTCTGCATGGACTCCATGTTGATACTGATGTCTCTGGCACGGTTTTCAAAGGGGAAAGGGAAGGACAGAGAAGCCAAAGACAAGCTGCTAAATGGACATCTCTTTGCAAGCGGCTCCTGTTTGGGCCCCACAGTGTGCGTGGTTTGTGACAAGCCAGCCTCTGGAAAGGACTTCCAGCATTGCTCAGGTATGTGAACCTTCACACCAAACAAACGCCCGACCAACAGCTTTAAAAGCTCATCCGTCTTTTTCTCTCAGGCTGCACTACAATCGTCCACAAAGGCTGTAAGGAATCTGTCCCTCCGTGCTTGAAGGTGAGGATTGTCCCGAGAATAAATGGGTGTGCTTGTTTTCACCACCTCCCGCTTTTTTCTCTCATTAATTGAGGAGCTTTAACAAAGCAGTTGTTTGTATTTTTAAGAAACATCAGGATAAATATGCCCCGACATCAGTGAGAAACAAGACGGCATCTCTCCCACAGAGTGAGTTTACGGATCTCAAGTCAAGAATCAATTCATTTAATCAGGAACATGTTTTTAAAAATAAGAATGAGCTCTTTGTTTTTCTCCCAGACTTCACAGTGAGAGAAAGTCCACCTCAGCCCAGGATCCCCATCTCTCTGTCGCAGCCAGTCCTAGTCCCAAATGGGAAAAGGGAATCTGTGATGCGATCGTGCTCTCTCTCTGGAAGTCTCCCTAACAACGACAGGTTATACAGCGCTCAGACTTTATTATGTAAAATAATGATAAGGAGCTGGTAATAGCAGAGCCATGTCTGATGCAGTCTGCTCAGTGAGGGTTCAGAGACAGAATCTGACGTCCAGAAGCGGAACAGCCAGTCAGAAGAGCTCCTCCCGACTCCGGTGTCCTCGGTCTCCAATGAGTCGTCCTTGGGAGACGGTAAGAGATCATTAAGCTTTGTTAAAATATTCAGAAAAAGGAGAAAAAAGCTTGAGTGGATGTAACAAATCCTTGCAGCCAGACATGGTTTTTACCTGCTGGAATGAGTTACTGGCTGACCTTAAAAATAAAGTGTTCCAGGAAGAAAAGACAATCTGAGAAAATGCGAGAAAAGGCATTAGAATTACTGCTTTTAGGTTTCAAAGTAGAAAAGTATTCACTAGAACAACAATAAAGATTTTACCCAAATTATATACTAATTTAAAATAGAGAACCTTCATCACTTTACACAATATATACAATTACATATACAAAAACATTCCATCAGATTTCAGTCCTTTTCAATTTGACCTGCACTTGTATAGCCCCCTTGTGAGCCAGAGGACTCCAAAGCACTTTACCTTGTCATCAGTCATTCATCCATTCACAGACTGGGGTGATGAGCTGCACTGCAGCCACAGCTACCCTGGGGCACACTGACAGAGTCGGAGTTTGATCTGACAATCCACTGATTAAATGGAAACTCCTAAACTTTGAGCCATTAGCTGTTTTTACAAAATAATGCTGTCAATTTGCCGCAGTGCCCTGGTTGCATCAGGAAGCCTTAGGTCATTAAAAAGTGGTCAGACCATGGCAGTAATGTGGCACAATCATGTCCTTTTTACGAAAAGATTAGGCGATGGCAGCATAAATGAACAAATGCGGCATGGCGCGTTTATAAGACACACCATTGTTATAAGACTTTGCTTTAATATTACGCTAATTTGCCGACATGGTGTGTCTTGTAAAAATGAACAATGTTGCCATTGTGACTGTTGCTAAGTCAGGGCTGCTAACTCTCACACAGTGAGCATGAGACATACACATCTGTCCCTCTTCAGACGCTCTTACGCTACACCTTCAGTATCTCGCACCGAAGCACCCCACCCCACTCTCAAAAGTCAAGAGGTTGGCAGCCCTAGCTAGATGATAGCAACGGTTTTATTCCCTTAATAGTGCCGCCGTCACTATCTGAACTGTTTTGACTCGATCTGTTCAGAAAACTGGGGTCGTTCAGCCACATTCCTCTCAAAGAGCCTAAAAGAAGACTGAAAACTAGCACAAAAAAACCTGTAGCCACAGATTCTGCAACACTTAAAGTACGTTATTATTTATCTGTGGTCAAACTGAAAATGAAACTTATTTCCTCACTGCGTTCATCTTTTTAACATCTTAATCTAACAGCTGAAACGTCTCCCCAGCCTTCATTAGTGTCTACAGGAATGATCCATCACTAAATGAAAAAAAATCAGCTGTGTTCATGACCTAAAACGTGCAGGTAGTAGGCCGCCATGCACGCTGAAGTTGGAAGTGCGATATTCTGGCCACAGAGGGCGGTGGGGGTCTGAATGACATGTCATTTACCCTGTAAAGGCTCATTATAGCAAAGTATCCCTTTAAAGGTGAGATTGACTTGGAATCGTGTAATACTTGTTCTTTTTGAAATACGATCAGTCACTCTGATTTTCACATGCAGGCTGAACATGAAAATAGGCTACTACCCCTATTTCTGCCCAAAGAAAATAGACAGGGAAGCGCTCAGGTAAAAACACACGCACATCTATGTCATACTGTAAATTAGCATTCATACCAACTTTATTTATGAAGCACATTTAACAACGGCACGGCAGCCGATCAAAGTGCTGTACAGATGAAAGGTAAAACGCAACATAAAAACAAAAACACAATCAATAATAAAAGTACACAACAATGCAAATAATCACGGTCAACAAAAAGTACACATAATAGAAATAGTTAATTAAATCAAGGATTTATAAATGCCTGGTTGTAAAAGTGGGCCTTAAGCAGTGACTTGAAACGGGGGAGGGATGGTGCCAGCCTCACAGAGAGAGGAAGAACATTCCAGAGGGACGGAGCAGCGTAGACAAAAGCACGCTGCCCCCGCGTTTTGTATTTCGTTGTGGGAACGTGAAGCAGCAAGCAGTCGGCAGATCGCAACGCCCGGTTTGGCACATAACGTCATGGACTCCCGGACTTGGTTTAGCGTCCAGGAGAGAGCAGAGCATGTATCCGAGAGTATGCTAACTGTTAGCATTAGCAACTTCACAACATGGCAGAACTCCTACAGACTTGTGTTTTTTGTGGCGAAGAAACTTTCATGTTGCATTTTTTACGTAAGAAAGGAAATCAAACGAGTTTTGTTGCTGTTGACCAATCAGAGGTGGCACATTTGCACATCATGAATATTAATGAGAAACAATCACAATCCTGCCATGTCCCCCCCCCCCCCACACACACACACACACCCCACCCCACCGACCAACTTTAACTTCCTTAAACAGGAGCGCCAGAGCTGTTTTCTCACAAAGAACGACTCACAAGGCATCCATTCATACTAGAGGCCACAGCAGATTTATTAACACCAGACTCACCTTCAAACTCTGACGTTTATTATGAAAATCTCCACTTTTTAACTGTTATTAATTATGAATTGCTTAATATTCCTCTTTTTTCACTGTATTTCATGACTCGATTACATCGCTGCTGTTTCCTACAAATAAAACTGAGTTGACACAGCGTGCTTCTAACAGGTCGTTGAACATATTTTGACCCACCGCTGTTTTTCTCAGGTGTTTAGACTTATTTTCCTTCATATGGTTTTAGTGAAGATGAAAAAATAAAAAAACAGTAAATTAAATCAAGCAGCGTGCTTTTCTCCCTGAGGAATCGTAAACGCGGATGATTGACGGTTTTAATCAAAAACAATTTTGTACCATCTTGTCCCTACAGACGGCATCGACTCGTATATCCTTATTCCCGGTGACATCTCTGCTGATTCTGTGGATTACGAGTCTGAGTCCTGGAGTCTGACAGTGGAGCCCAAGTTTTGCAACAAACAGGATAAACGAGATGTCAAGAGGCAAGATGTAATCTATGGTGAGCAGATGCTAATTAAACATGCATTTTTTTTACATTTATAAACTAGATTGCTCTTGTCACATATAATTGTTTTCAAATGAAGTAACAGCTTGGAAAATAAATGCTTTTGTGATTGAACTGAGTGTTTGTTGTGTAACCGACGCAGAGCTGATGCAAACGGAACTCCACCACCTGCAGACTCTGCACATCATGGCCGAGGTGTTCCGGCGAGGAATGAAAGAAGAAGTGCAGCTTGATGAAGAAGCGGTGGAGCGAGTGTTCCCCTGTCTAGATCAGCTGCTGCTTTTTCATCATGGGCTGTTTGCTGCCATGAAGGAGCGAAGACAAAACTCCGCCCAGCCGCAGGGAGACAGAAACTACATAATCCAACAGATAGGAGACGTCCTGATTCAGCAGGTTAGCTGAGCCTGTGGGACTAAACTACCACCTACCAGTGAAAGAAACGGATTCAATAGTGAGGTTTTAATTTGATTTTATTGCAGTTCTCAGATGAGAATGGAGAAAAAATGAAGCAGGTTTACGGAGAGTTCTGTAGTCGACACAATGAAGCAGTCAGCTTCTTCAAAGAGCTCCAGCAGCACAACAAGAGGTTTCACAGCTTCGTTAAGGTATTTGTTTAAAAATACAACCACTCAGCAAAGTGACGTCAAGAATAATCATTGAAACATCTTTTTAAAGCAACAAGGTAACAACTCTTTGGTGCGACGGAGAGAGATCCCAGAATGCATCTTGCTCGTAACCCAAAGAATCACTAAATACCCTGTGCTACTGGAGAGGATCCTGCATTATACCCAGGGTTAGTCCTCTGCTGCCCTCTTCTGGTTAAACCCGTCTCTTCCTCTTGTCACCATGTCAGATGTAGATTTTTGTCCTTTTTAGTATTTTAGCTTATTGTTGTGTTGCTAATATAATGTTATATAAAATGTTTTATATAGATCCGTTTCACGTGTTTCTGTCTTTTATCTATTTTATGTTTTAGGCTGCATGATCATTAAAGCACTTTGGTCCTTTGTGGCACCACTTCCTGAAACAGGAGCACCAGAGCTTTTTTTTCACTGAGAACGACTCACAAGGCATTCATTTATACTAGAGACACACGCATTTAAAAAAATGAGTGAACTTGGTCTTTAAGGTGCTTTATAAATGCAGTTGGATTGGATTGTAAAGGGATGTATGACTTTACAATTCCACACGTCCACAGATTTCAGTTCTAACTGTATTTCAACATAATGAGAGGATTTTCCCCTCCAGAGGAAACAGAAGAACACACCAGCCTCTCGAAGGCTCTGGCTCTAATCCGAGAGGTGATCGCAGCGGTGGACCTGAGAGTCAGTGAATACGAACTGCACCAGAGGCTACAGGAAGTGTGGAGCCGCACAGAGAACCGCAGCACGGCCAAGCTGAAGAGCGGGTACACTTTCCGCAAGCAGGACATGATGAGGTCCGGGCAAAGGCTCAGACACGAGGGCCTTCTTCTGTGGAAGACCGCAACTGGTCGGCTTAAGGGTGAGGTCGTCATCCTCTACTTGGGTCAAGTGTGGCCCAGAGGAGTCTGGGAAACTCTCCATCCAGCCCTTCATGTCCTCGAATAAATCAATGCAAACCCTTTTCAAAATTTTAAATATAAACATTTTATTTGCCAGCAAATAAACTCGTCCAGTTTTTATGGCCCTATGAAAACAAAATTGTCACCAGCTCTTCTTTGTGCTGTGCATTGCTGCACATTTAGTATGTAATTGTTTAAATTCTTGCTTGTTGCAGATGTCCTGGCCCTCCTCCTCACTGATGCACTGATCTTCCTCCAAGAGAAGGACCAGAAGTATGCTTTTGCCACCGTGGTGGGTGCACAGTTTTTATTGGCTGTAAAATGTGTCAGCTGTGCCTCTCCTGACCTCGTTGGCTCATCACGTAATTGACTCTGCTCTGAATCTGCTTCAGGACCAGAAGCCTCCAGTCATTCCTCTGCAGAAGTTAATCGTTCGGGAAGTAGCGAACGAAGAGAAGGGGATGTTTCTGATCAGCGCCTCCTCTGCAGGCCCCGAAATGTACGAGGTCCACACCTCATCTAAAGAGGAGCGAAACACCTGGATGAGGCTCATCAGAGAGGCGGTAGAAAGGTGTGTCCAGGTCTGCAGAACATAGATGTTTGGAAACAAACAGTGGTTTACCGTATTCTTCTGCCGTGTAGCTGTCCAGAGGAACAAGAGGAGTACACAAGTGAATCGGAAGAGGAGAAGCGAGCTGCTGAGGCTCGTTTCCATAAAATCCTCAAGCTGCACGGTATCAGCCTTTCGCGTTGTTATTAAATCTGATCTTTACCACCCCTGAGGTAACAGTCTGTGTGACGTTTGAACTCTCTGAACTGGTGTAACAGAGAGCTTGTCCAGCCAGGACCAGCAGATCTGCTCCTGCCTGGAGGAGAAGCTGCAGATCTACTCGGCGCTCACCGCTCTGAGGCGGACGGACGTGCCACTTGTCGAACCGCGGCTGCTGGTTCAGCCGCACTCAGAGGAGCCGCCACAGGCTGCCGGGCTGCTGGCAGCAGCCCTGAAAGAGGGTAACATTAACCAATCCTGGATGCACAGATATTCAGCAGTTTTTGCAACTTTTCTAATGATCTCAGAAAGTTTAAATGTGCATTTGATGTAGTTTAATTCTTTTATTTTGCAGCTGAGAACCTCAAAGCCTCACTCTCCTCCGGTTCTCCATCAAGTCCCGGTCGGGACTCAGACTCCGTGTTTCTTGTTATTCGCCCAACACTCTCAGATCCCGTCCCCCTCAGCGAGGCTTTTCCTGATAGCGCAGTCGGCAGTGAGGAGAACCGACCCGATGCCTATGCTCTTCAGCCAGAAGCTAAAGATCACAACTTCATACACTCCAAAGTAAATATCCTTTTTATTAATAGAAATTATTTTTACTTAATGAATTTTTTATAGCAAAGGTGAGCTACTCCTGGAGTTCACCTCTTTCCATCCTGCCCACAGATGTGCGCTTCATGAATCATTATTTTAATAATTTAGCACAGCCGGTTAGAATTCCATTTCAGTCTTAATATCATAAATCATTAATAGGCTCGTAATAAAGGGTGATCCAGTTAGCTCCCAAACGTAAGGCGGCATTAAAAATGGATATGGAGACCAATTCTGATGACTACATCACAGTTGAGCTGCTCTCTGCAGCTTTTATGACCCATGAGGTGAAACATTTAGCCTGAAGGGGGCGCTGTTGATTCATGCCTGTCAGGTCTTGCCCAGAAAGTGTTTCGACATCCTTGTGAAGCATTTTATTTTGAAACTTGTGAAACACAACAACTTAAATGTATGTAATTTGAAGTTACATTATACGTACTGACTACCTGTGTTTGATTTTGATCATTTATAGGTTACCCAAAGTGTCCACAGTCTGACTCAGCTGCTGTACAGTTTGCAGGTGAGAGCATGCACCACATCCATCGCCGATTTATTATTATTATTATTAGTTTTTGAAGTTCTTCGAGCACTTATCTATGTTTAGGCAACAAACAAACATTCTCTGTTGTCAGTACGAGCAGGTGCACGCTCTGTGTGTGCCGTGCTCAGCAGAGGCGCAGGCCTGCGAGCGGCAACTTCAGTAAACAGAGGAGCAGTGCTGTGCCTGGCTGTTTGAAGCCAAAGGTAGCGAGCTGCAGGAACTCTTCCCCACTCATCTTTTTTCTTTCCTCCTCAGAGACACAGGAGGGTCTTTTGTTTTGCAATGCACTCGCTTCTCTTTGGCATAAAATGTAAATTTATGTGAGCATGTGTGTGAATTTGCATCTGGGATGTGTGTGTGCCTGTGTGTGTGTGTGTGTGTGTGTGTGTGTGTGTGTGTGTGTGTGTGTGTGTGTGTGTGTGTGTGTGTGTGCGTGTGCGTGCACGTTGTCGTTTTCCTGTGTGGATTTGGGGTTTTGATCAGGAGATTTTCATATTCAAAGTTTGCATTCCCTTCCGCGTTTGAAACCAAAAAACATGGATCTACCGGCGAGGAAGACGCTGCTGCTACACAAACAGAAAAAAAACTAGGTCAGCAGTTGAACCTGATCGTAATTTCCATCACATTTTACTATTCAAATCAAACAAGGATGCCTTCTAGGTGAAAATGGAGAAGCGAAGCAGCTCTTTGAAGACTCTTTAATCCTGTGTCTCCTTCTCCATGCCAGGCTGCAGTAACCATCCAGGACACTTACTTCGACGTTCAGCGTCTCCTCCTCCAAGAGAGTGGGCGCCCCACGCCTCGGGCCCTGCTTCTGCACCTCTCAAGCTTCCGGGGCAACACGTTACTGGAGCAGGAGAAGCAGCGCAACCTGGAGAAGCAGAAGGAGGAGGTGGTGGCAGCTCAGAGGCTCCAGGACAGACTGCGCCAGGAGAAGGAGCGTTGGGAGCGCGAGTGCCAGTCGAGGGAGAGCCAGCAGGAGGAGCTGGAGAGCAGGCTGGAGGAGAGGGAGAAGCAGTACCAGCTGGCTTCAGAGAAGCTGAGGCGTGAGCAGGAGGAGCTGGAGGAACAACTTAGGGAGTACCAACAAAGTCTGGAGCGGCTGAGAGAGGGCCAAAGGAGTGTGGAGCGGCAGCGAGAGCATCTGGAGAACCAGCGGAAGCTGCTCCAGACCTGGAATCATGGGCGGCAGAGCAGCCTGCCAGCTGTGATTCCTCACATGGTCATCCCTCTAGATGAGCAACAGGTAACAGGAGTCACACCTGTTTAAGCCACTCTGTGATTATTTCCAGTGTCGAACCTCCTCTCCATAGCAACCCGTGACCTTAAGGGAGGAGTGACACATCTCTCCAGCTTCCCTCAGTCATCATCATCATCATCATCATCATCATCTTCCTCTCTCTTCCACAGAGCAGCTCGACCCTTTTCTGATACACAACCTGTGATAAGAAGAGCAATTCTACCTCCATTTATCTCAGTGCTCCAGTAGCTCCACTCACCAGTAAACATCTTAATGATTAATGGTAATTAAACCGTTGCAAATAAAAGCCCCGACAAAATAATTAAAACCTGGAGCACGCAGCCCGAGGAGCCAATCAATTGTGTTCTAAAGGACTTAACTTATTGACAGTTTGAGTGAAAAATGCCCTGCAGCTGGAGGAGAGGGAGCACAAAGGGTGATCTGTTCTTCCTGCTTTTTGGCTCCTAGTGCAGCTCATATTTAAAATAACACTTAATGAGTTTTCTGCCGTCCCCGCCTACTGACTGAAAGTAGAATTAAAACTGTTGTAAACAACCCTGCAGCATGCTGTAGCGGACGCTAACATGAGACAACTGATACAAAAAAAGACCAAAAACTAAAAGGATACACACTGTTGGACAAAAAAATGTTATTACTTACAAGCCAGGCCACCATCAGTCCGTGATTTCGTAGCCTCCTTTATCTCCCTCAAACGAGTGTAGACTCATTTGAGGGAGATAAAGGTATGTAATGTGAATGGTCACTCTGGTTTTAGCTCTTTGCTTCACATTACTCTCCTAAGCCCTTTTCAGACAGACATTCTGGAACATTTGCGGACAATTCGATCCGTTTTTTTACCGGAACTGTGTTTTCAGACACACCACTTTTGTACCGGAACTTGTCCTTTCGGCTGCGTTCACACAGCAGGGAAAAGTTCCAGATGTCTGACGGCGGCGGGGGGGTGGGGGGAATCGGACTCATGTTAAGAAGAAGAAGAAAAGATCATTTCTATAGCGCCTCTCAAGATAAAAATCACGAGGCGCTTAAGCATAATTCTGCGCACACGAAGACGCATAAGAGACCTGGATGATGAAGCTCAATGGTTAAAGGAATCACTGAAGCGGTGTGAAGCGCTCCGTCGCGCGTCTAGGCAGTACCGTAGGAGGCGAGCTGCCGTGGTTCGCCGCATGCTACAGGAGCGGGCTATCTAGGAGCGCACAGCGTCCCCCAGTCCCTTCCTCCTCCCCCTCCCCCTTGTCCGGAACTCTACCTCACCAGTCTGAAGCAGCCACCCTGTCCGTAACAAGTCCGGACCTGTTACTAGGGGCTTCGTCGGGTTAAATTCCGGAACACGTTATCCGGATGTTTGTATTCAGACAGAAAGGTCTTACGGACAGAGTCTGGAACACTTCCGTTTTTCATGGCCTGTCTGAAGGGGGCTTAAGGCTGCTAGCATTTAAATTAGCTACCTGCACAGTAAATAGCTATTACCATAAAGCAGGTAGAGTCGCCTCCCCACTAGTGTTCCTACTCAAACCACATAAAGCGCAGTTTCTGGTCAGCAGGGGGCTACAGAGACCTGTTCCATGTGAAGTTGGTCAAGTTTCATGCTCAAGAACCACCGAAACTAGTTTAAAAACATTAGCTTAAAGTGTTAAAAAGCCTTAGTGTTGCTTTAACTAAAACAGAATGAGTATATGAGTCTGCTAGCTCAGGGTTCGGGTTTCTTGGTTCAGCAGGTGGGTCTGTTCAGTGCCGGAGCAGACAGACAAATGAGTGCACTCGGGTTACTATATTCCCTTCCTCCCTCATTAATTTACACTGCATGGACCTTTGCCGGCTGGATGTGACGAGGTCCTTCTGGCTCTGAGCTGGCTGACTGGATTTCCATTAATCTATTTTCGTCGGTGCGGAGGCTGCATTAAAAGCAGTGGGCTCATAAAAGCAGAGCAGAGGTAGCGGAGGTCCCAGTGTTCCCCTGGTAATGTTTTAGCCTGAGGCGGTGGTTCACAGGGTCAGAGGCAGATCCAGTGACACACACTCACGCATCAGTTCTCAGGTCGTATCTAATTAGCTGTGCTGCGTCCAAAAGCAGAGGAAAGGCCGTGTCGGCGTGAGGGTCGGACAGTAGGGGAGGAGCTGGGGCTCAAAGGGACTTATGGTGACACACTTCATCTAAATGATTCTGATGTTTTGGTTTTGGACATAGCTCATACACAAGTACACTGATGTTTGTGGTTCTACAATGCTTTACAAAATCTAATATGAAATTAGAAAAATAAATTTTTATGAACATTGTCAAGTTCCCATGAATATAAACTAAAATAGGAATTTTGATGTGATTTTGCACTAATTACAAAAAAAGTGGCTGATTTACTTTTTATGAACATGCTTGCTGGCCCCTCATTAAAATGCATGAGTGAATCCGAAAGACACACAGTGGAACGTCTCACAGCTGTGCACGCCTGCGCATGAGCTTCACTTTATTTTTTTTTCTCTATTCTTATTGTTCATTTTTCAGCCTGAACTGTAACTGTGACATTTTCGTTTCTCCCCCAGGACTCTCCACCAAGTCATCCCCGAGATTACGCTGGCAACGGCTCGGTGTTTGTGAACGAGGCCGCGTTCACCAGCGCCAGCTTTAACAACCGCCACTTCCAACACAAAAGAAACGACCCTAGTGCACACAACTGTTTCAACACCCTGCTGGTCAGGTCTAACGGCAGACAGTCCCCTATTGTCCCGACCCCTCACGGCCAACATTCAGACTCTCAGGAATGGGTGATGGGCACAGGGTACTTCTACGATCCTGCAGGAAGACTACGGCTGCAGGACTCAGCCAGTGGTAAGAAACACCTAAAAGCCAAATCATTGCCTGTCACAGAAGGGCTGTTGCATATCAACGTATTTATAAAAGCAGCCGGGGACCATATGCATATGTAAATGTAGTGAGTTATAAAATGTAATATGTATTGGATAGTTTTATTTGGTGTTTTAAAGGTGTGGTTGACTAAAAAAAAACATTGTTTAAAGTGTTTTTTCTGTTGTGAGTTTTCATGCATGATGACCATGAAAATAGTCTCCTACACCTATCTCCTGCATTAGCTTCTAATAGAAAATAGACGGTCAGTTTTGAAAATCCTCACAGATCTACGTCACGCTATGAATTAGCATTCATGGACTCATCCATCTTGACTCGCAGTGGGGAAGGCTGTTGTTGGTTTAGCGCTCGGTAATCCGCAGGGGACGTTTTGGCTAGTTTAAGCTAACCGTCAGCATTAGCAACATCACATCACTTGTGTTATTTGTGGAGATAAAACATCAACGTTGCGGGTCGGTGGTAGAGTCGTGTTGCTGTTATCCAATCCGGGGCGGGATGTCCAAATAACAGGAAATAAGACTCCACATTCTGTCGTCTGAAGCTCAGCTGTGATATTGCAGACTTGGCGTGCTGAGCCAGGGGTTTGTGGGCTTTTTTGTGCCCTGAGTTCTGCTTGCAAGTAGGGCTGCAACAACGAATCGATAAATTCGATGAAAATCGATTACTAAAAGCGTTGGCAACGAATTGCGTCATCGATTCGTTGTGTCGCACAACTCTTCCAAAAGCGCCCCCCCCCCCCCCTTCCCGCCCGCCGTTGCGCGCAGACCAGAGCAAGTCAGATCAGCGCGAGGGAGAGCCGGCAGATCAGCGCGAGGGAGAGCCGCAGATCAGCGCGAGGGAGAGCCGCAGATCAGCGTGAGGGAGAGCCGGCAGACTTGCGCTGCTGCGAACCGGTTCCGCATTGTTGCACAGCGATCCAGGCAGCTGCTTCCAGCGCACGGTCCATTCTCAAAGTGGCGCAACCAAAAAACTATAATTAGCACACGATCGTTCATGTCCGCACATGTTCTCTATTTTCTGTCTTATTTGTGCCTGAAGCTCGCTACTGCGGAGCTCATCACCTGTGCTGTGGTGATTTCACCTCACGCAGCATCGAAAACGCGCTCTGCGCTTTTCGGTCAGGAGATCCCTTTGATCTGCTCAAAAGTAACTGATGAGGTGAAAAGGTAAGAATCCAGGCAACAGATTTTCTGGAGAATTAAGAGGAGATGCAGGAAGATGAGAGACAGACAGGACAGGAAAATAGTTAAATAAAAACAAGAAAACAAAACAAAGTGTTGAAAAGTCAAATGTAGGTAGATTTATCTCCACGACACGTTTTTACCAGTAAAAAACAATAAGTTATACACATGTCATATTTATACATCTGATACAATTCAGATCACCTTCAAAACTCAGTCACACACCCAGGGCCGTTTCAAGACATTTTGGGGGCCAAGGCAAAATGCCCCCCCCCCCCCCCCCCCATAACTGGGCTCCCCAGAAGCCTCTGTGTAATTCATGCCCTCTCCAGTAGTGTTAGTTATATGGTGTTTATAAAAGCCCCTCAGACATTACTGACATGTTCTAATATTATCAGATGAAAAACTTAATTATCAGACATGCTGTCTCATCTGCTTCTTTTAAAAACTTGCAAAAAGTAACAAAACCATTTGAAAGCCACTATTTGTGGATTCTCTGAAAGTTTCCATGGAGTTTGTGACAACTTATTTTTTCATTGATCCTATCATCTAATCTCACAGCTGAAACAAGCATCCTTAATAATCTGTGCACAGGAAGCTTACCGATGCTGTAGTAAAACAAAAGGTATAATAATTTATTATTAATAAAACCTTGTTGCAGCACTAAAGCAGAAAAATTAGATTTTGCATTAAATATGCAAAATATTTACATATGAATAGTTTTAGAGCCCTTTAATTGGCAGAATCTGATATTAATTTAGTTCTTACAAAAAATGGGTCCCAACATGGTTTGTGTGGCGTTGCCATAGTGTGACGTCATAGGCACAGATCCCCTGTCCTCTTGTTTGGAAATGGAAATATGATCACCCTATATTAAACAAACTGTCCACCCGGGCTTTTGCGCTGCACAGAGACGCTTCGCTGCCTACGACTGAATGTCAGTTGAGAGTCAGTCTCATGCAGACTGACCAATGAAGAGAGGGCCTCAAGTTAAGACCCTCTCCTCATTGGTCAGTCCACACGAGGTGGGTCAAAGGTTACTCTGGGCGGGTTACGTGTTGTCAGGCATTCAAGTATTGAGTATATTTACTGCATATTACAGTAAAATATTCTGTATGTGACCACATTATGGTGATCCTTGGGTCGTGATGATGGAGCCCTTGAATATTGTTGCCCAGGGTACAACAAAGTGTTAATCTGGCCCTGGTTCCGCCGTCACATTCCCGCAGAAACTGGTTGATCACACCGGGGCCAGACTACTAGCATGTGGTTTTACAACCACAATGTCCTCAGAAGCAAAAACACTTTTAAAAGGGAGGGAGGAGTCCTAACTGTTGCTGCAGGCGTGTTGTGTGAGAGTGCAGTTATATACTGGTTAATATATTTTTGGGTTCAGTTGCTTTCATGTGGCCTAATGTGAGTCTATTTGGGATCATTGGAATGATCAGCAGCATTTCTTGATGTGACTTTATGGCAGTTGCCCAGGGCATCATCGCAAGGAGGATGGCATTCATTTACTTTTGTTTTATTTGGTATTTTTTCAGTCAGTTTTGGAAATAGTGATCAATTTTGATTAATTCACAGCCTATGTTTAATTACATTTAAAATAAATATTAACAGATGAGATCAAACAAAACAGATGAGAATTGCCCTTAAGCTGTTTAACTTGGACCAAGCATTTTAGATCACAGATAGATGTAGCTTAGGGTCTCTGTCTATACACCTTATAAGACAATTTAGGTGATGGCATGTTGTTTTTCTGCTATTGAACTGTTTTCTAATAATGTTGTGTTAAATAAAGTGAAGGAAGGAGAGAAATAACGTTTCCCTAGCAGTTTTTAAAAATTTCCCCATGTAATCCGATTAATCGATTAATCGTGTCGAGACCCCATCCGATTAATCGATTATCCAAATAATCGTTTGTTGCAGCCCTACTTGCAAGGCATTCATTCATTCTAGAGACCACTGCAAATGTATTGATTAAACAAGCAATCCACTCCTTTGAATAGGAATTTCACAAAAATAGTTTTATAATGAAAATTAAAATTATGGGACATTATTAGGGGACAGATTATGCAAAACTCACATTTTGCATCCTTGTGTGCTGCCACGTGAGTCTCTGCTGCCTCTATAAACACTCCAAACCTGAATAAATGCCAGCTATCCATTTGCTGTCTGTGTTTAGTGAATTATCTGCCTAAAACAAGCAGATTTAAAAAGTCCTTTATTGTGATGTCACCATAAGGAAAAACAACAGAATCAACCTCTCACCTGTCTGTGCTGGAGGAGAAACTCTACTCTGAGCCCTTTCCAGATATATGAGCTTCTCAGCTTATGGTAGCCCATCAGAAGAGGGGTGGGTGTAGCCAGTTCCAGCTTGTTTTCCTTAAAGTAGCAGAGCCTTGAAAGAACAGAGTAGAATAGAAAAACTTTATTGTCTGACACCAAGCGGTTGCAGAAACTTTCAACAGGGCTTATCATAACCACCTCATCATTCACACTTTCATAGAACAGTAAATACAAGAAAAAAAATCATAAAAAAACACAGATATAAATGGCTCATTCTGGAAGGTACTGAAACTGTCAGGAATAAAGCTGGCTTCACGTGCAACTGAAAGTTAGGTATCAGTGTTCTAATGTGGGAGGATTGTATCTTGTGTCGGACAGCGAGGTGCTGTGGAATCAAACCGCCAACAGAAATAAGGAGTGTGAGAATGTAAACAAACCCGGTGCGTCAACTGGTTTCGCCCTCGTTTGAGAGAGCTCGCTGTGCTTTCAGGGCTGTATGGGAAGCCTTTCCTGTCCTTCACCTGAACCAGCCACATCCTCGCCCCCTCCACCTCCACCTCCACCTGCACCCTCCCCTCCCCACCTGCCAAAAGAAGAGAAAATCAATGGTTTCTCTATCTATCGCCTGTCAAGGCACACAACAGCACGTGAATCACAGTTCACAGGCGATGGTTGACTGATTAGGACATTGATCTGAAAAAATCTTTACTAAACTCATTACAGCATGACTTGTCATCGCACCAGGTGAAGGGGAGTGAGGAGCTGGGGAATGAGTGATGCAGCCACAAATGAATCCATGTTTCACGTTTTTTTTGTTTAGTCCCATTTCTCATTCTGATGCGGGATAATATGACACTTTGCATTCATTGTGACCACTGGGCCTCGTGGAAACAGGGCCAGGGTTAACTGTAGCTGATCCAGAGTTCCTGGAATTGTTTACTAGCCACTCATTCATTGATTAGCTTATTAACCTTTCCTCATTATTGAGCGCACACAGGCCCCAGTGAAACCCAAGTGACTTGTTAACCAACCAGCAGCGGATTTACAGCTCCGGTTTAGAATATATGGTGTTTTTCTTTTTGATAATGTACAGCAATAGCGTGTTCCTAAATCCCTCCCGTAAAGACCTGGAATAAATGATCTCAAACGGTGGATATATGAACCAATCTTCTGTTAATTTCCTACTCAGTTAAACACATCTGTATGAGAGTCAGTGATTTTATGGGGATTTAGGAGCTCCTATGTGACGTTACAGAGTCTCATGCTAACAGGCTAACATGCTAGCAGTTTGTAATCCTGATGAACCAGTTAGATGGAAGTTTTTGAAACGATGCATCAACGAATGAGTCAGATCAGATTTATTCTCTAAGAAATAAGAGTAATAAAGAGTAAGATGAGGAGGAAAAGATCAAACTGTGCAGTTTAGAGGAATTTAGACCTCGCAGTGACTCAGACCTGTTTTGTAGCTTTGGTAAAACAGAAATACAGCAGTTT